GGTCACAGATATGGTCTGTCTGCCTTCCTTCTGGGAAGGAGGATTGCCTGTGGACAGGCAGGAGTTTTGTTCTGTCTGCAGTAGGGGACAGGTAGCATAACGATGTTATTCATCAAGGAGCAGTGCTGGGGAGTTGTGCTGACCTTACTCCCTGCAGTTGTCACTCAGAAACAAAAGGGTGAGAGACTGATTTCTCATTCATCTCCCTCCTGTACTGCCCTGACGGCTACACAGCATAGCATCACTCTGTACTGTGTGCTGTAAGTACAGCCTTACAGCCCGCTGAGTGAATGCGGCTCTGCCATGGGGCAGAGCTTTCTTTAGACACATTCCAGGCCAGTGGAGGGGAAAAACGCACATTCCTCTTTCCTCTGGGTGCCTCGTGTCAGCTCCCAGGGCTTTGCTCAGAAGCTATTCTCTCACTGTGCGGATTGCATTTGGACAGACTTCTTTGGGAATGATGTTTCCTATGAAAATCACTTCCATCTGTGCAGTGTCTCTGCTTGCGGCTGCAGTGTGAAGTCCTCCGCTTCCAAGCCCCTCTTCTGCAGCATGAGGGCTGGTCACCTGGTAGGGGAGAGACTTACCACTATCTGGCCATCTACAGACACAAAAGCAAATGAGGTCCTTGACCTTAACTGAAACAAGCTTGCCTGGCTACTGCCAAAGCCTGCACACCATCACCTGTGCTCCTGGAAGAACACCGTTTCCTCAGATCAAGGCAGTGCTTTCTCAGATTGCCTTGGAGATCGTCACACCGTGTGTGTGTTTTGCTTTTTAACCTGAATCTGAACATGCCCTGTTACATTCTGACTGCGGTTGAGACCATTTAAACTCCTGAGTGGAGATCAGTGCTTCTATTTTAAACTGATGATCACATCTCACTTTTATTTTTAAAGGAAATTCAGTTCAAATTGATTTTTTTCCTTTTTTTTTTTTTCTCCTCTCATACCAATGCCCAGGGAAAATTCTGAATGCTTCCCCATCACTTTTCCCACCAATAAAGGACAGAAATGCCCATCAGCAAGCCCTGCAAGGTGGACACAAAGTCACAGGCTGCACCGTGCATTTTGTCCTGGTAAGTATCCTCTTGCCCAGCATTGAGTAAGTTATGAAGAGGAATGTCATGGTTTAAGCCCAGCTGGCAACCAAGTACCATGCAGTTGCTTGCTCACTCCCCCAGCCCATCCCCAGTTGAATGGGGAGGAGAATCAGAAAAGAGGTAAAAATCTGTGGGTTAAGATAAGGGTTAATAATTGAAATAAAATATAATGTAATAATAATAAGAAGAAAGAGAGAGGAAGGAATAAACCCCACCGGCCAAAAGAAGTCCAAGTGATGCTCACCACCCACCGACCAATACCCAGCTCGACCCAAGCAGCAGTTGGTCCCTTCTGGGTGACTCCTTCCAGTTTGTATACTGGGCATAATGTGCTGTGGTATGGAATACCCCTTTGGCTAGTTTGGGTCAGGTGTCCTGTCTCTGATTCCTCCCGGCTTCTTGTGCCCCTCCTCACTGGCAGAGCATGAAAGGCTGAAAAGTCCTTGATCACAGTAAGCATTACTTAGCAGCAGCAACTAAAACATCCGTGTGTTATCAGGATTGTTCTCAGACTAAAGCCAAATCACAGCATTGCACCATATACTAGGAAGAAAATTAACTCAAATTAAAGAAAATTAGCTGTATTCCAGACAAGACCAGGACATGGAATTTGCTGTTTTCTTTTATTTCTGAAGGCAGAAACAGGAAGAGGTAACAGGAGTGTGTGGAAATCTTAGGATTGGTACCAGTAAAAACCAGAAGATACGGGGATTACATTGTGTTTGTGGTTTCTTAAGGTTCTGTCTTCTCTCTTCATATTATGGTTTGGGTTTTTTTCAGTTTCTCCTACTCAGCAAACTGCCCTCTCAATCTTCTAGCCCATGTCTCTTTTCCTGCTGTACCCCCTGAGGTAATGTGGGTACCCCTAATGGAGGTGCAAGCCTCTCTAGGTGTTCTTCAGGCCTCCTGCACACAACTGCGCACATGCATGCTGAGATCTCTCACGAGACTTTCTCTGCCCTGTCCACATTGTCCATAACCTTTCCAAGACTGTTCACCAGCCTCTTCTAAAAGATTGCCACTATCCCCATTTCAGGAGGAATCTAGTCCGAAAGCTATGATCCACCAGGAGCCAGTATCTGTGAAGGCAGATGACACGGAGGAGATGCTGTCAGAAAGGGTTAAAGAAGCTGAGTGTCGGGCTTTTCCTATTGCCCTGCAGCTGGTGGCCAGTGGAGCAGTGCAGTTAGGAGCTGATGGTAAAACATACTGGAAACAAGAGAGCCAAGGTCTGTGTCTTCAGGAAGAGAAGAGAGACTGCACATCCTCTCCCGTGGCTCTGGAGCCTCAAGAAAACAATGTGGTGTAGCCAGGTTAACAAGTGGCTTGCTGTCTGCTCATCTTTCCCTCTTCTCTCCTCCTCTATGCCCTTGATGTGCTCCTTTTTGACTGCAGGCATATCAGTGTCACAGGTTTCCATTCTGAGCCATGATCCCTTTCCGTTAGCTTGCAGCTTTAGTTACACTTGTTTTGCAAAATTGGCAGTGGAAGCCAAACTCTCATTCCAGATTTTGAATTTTTGTTCTGTTCTTTCATCTGTGAAGGAGATGCTGTGGTACAAATCAAAGAAGCGGCTTAAGATGTAAAAGTGGCCTAGTGCTTTGGAGGGAAATTAGTCCAAGTTTTGTTGGCTGCATCACCACGATGCAGAGCACCAGGAGCTTCAGAAAACAACCACAAATAGGAGCCAGACATGCCTGGGCAGATCAGAAGTGAGGTACAGCCTGGCACAGTGTGGATTTGTGGGTGAACAAGCATTGAGAATGAATGTATAGTTCTGTGGGAGGAGGTGGGAGCCTAGAAGGACCCCATCCTTGTGAGCCCCACCACTGTGGGAGCACCTCAGGGTGCAGAGAAGAGGATACATAAACAAGCACCAGTGTGGGAGCCAGAGTCTAGTGAACTCCCAAGCAGAAGACCCAAAGGCCAAAAGGCAGGGAACCTTAAAAGGCAAACCAAACTGAAACAACCCCACCTTCACAGATTATCAGTATGATGTGACAGTGCACACTGAACATACAACTAGACACTTTTTCCTGCTCCTTGAAAGGGAGAAGCGCAGAGACATTCCCAGAGTTCCAGATTAAAACATTTGGATCTTGAGGGATGACAATTTGATTGGAGGACTAGAAACACAAATTTCAGGCATTTTTCTTCCCTCGTCCTTGAAATCAGCAGAACAAGGCATGCTCAGCTTAACTTGCAACAGCAGGAAAACCTCTTTGTTGACTGAATGACTGGCTTGGTCCAGAGTCACTGCTGTTAAATAAAACCTTTTCCATGGAAGCTATTTTATAGCTGCCAGAATAATGACTTCCATGCAAGTAACAAACCAGAGGAGGAATGTTAGCTAAGAAGTTACTTGAACAAATTAGAAAAGGAGTAACCAGAGCTAGTATTCCATTGGAGAGATCCCTAATATCCATCAGATACAGTGAAAAAAATGTATTCTTATTTTGGTATTACACATACTGTACTAGTGAGGGACATACTGTATATTTCCCTCTTGGCTTTATCAGGCTGTTCGAGAGCATGAGTCAGATACAGTTAAAAGTCTAAATTTGTCCTTTCTTTTCTAAAGCATAGCTAATGGTGTTTCAGTAGTTGGGGAGGGAGAAAAATTCAGTTCCCTCCTGTGAGGTCTGCCATACAGAAATCTGTATCTGTCTTTTGCACTGCAATGACTGGAGAAAGGAATATGTGTTTTTCATGACCTGGGAGAAATAAGAAGATCTGTAACTAGGCAAGATTAACAAATGTTTGGTATATAGAGATACTTTTTTATGATATGCACATTGCTTAATTTGCTTTTGGTTTGTTGTAACTCTGTAGAAACTTCCTGTTGTGTATTATTTGAATTGCATGGCATGCATGACTGAATGTTCCAAACGTCACAAATAAAATGTTAAAAGAGAACAAGGCACAAGTTATGGTTTCCAGACAATCACCATGGTATCAAACAACTCCTTCTCCAGTCATGCTGCTGGCATCCCTCTGAGGTTGGGTGCGGTATATTATTAATCTATTATTATAGATTATATATTAATCTATCTACTCTTTATACAGAGTGGTAATTGAAGCAAAGAACTGGATCTAAGATCCAGTTCACACTCACATTTCTTTTCATGCATTTGTAGAAATACAGATAAGTGCTAAAACCCCATTTGCCATCAGCTTTAGATGGCAGAACACCCTACTCCCCCTCAAGCTGTCTGTGATGGAACAGGGTATTGGGTTTGGAACATCTGAGCCTTCTGTTGGCCTTCCTGGCACAGATCAAACTGCTTTTATCGGTATTGTACTTACTAACTGTAAGAGTAGTGATTTCACCTCTAGTGGTCTTAACTTCCTCTAACCTGTGAGTTAAGTACAATTTGTTTTGACTTGTAGATGCTTTACTTTGCAATGTAGCTCTGGCACTGAGCTCGTGCGGGCTGAGCCCCTGCCAGGGCTGGACTCTCCCTGCATCTTCTGCATCCTCACTGAGCCAGGCTGGATTTCAGACCTCGGTGGGCAGTTTGCCTGTGGGGATGCCCTTCTGTGGGAGGGCAGGTTTGTAAAGAAAAACTCTGGGATGAAGACTTGGCTTTTACTCTTTGCCCTTTACAAGCAAATCAGATTGGACCATGTCATTTTCCTCTGTATTGGCTTGAGCTTTATCCTCAGTGACAAACAATGACAGGAGTATCTTGTCAGCAAGTTTCTTCATCACGGACCAGCTGGCCATGGACACAGTAAGGTCACCACACTCAGTGAATTGTTCCTGACTTACTCAGGACTGCACATGTTGTAACCTCACAAACTGATTTATGGGTGCTGTACTTCAGACAAAGTTAAATTCTGGTTCACAGACTCCTTCTCCAGCTCATCCCCCTGGCAAAGGAATTCCACTGAAAGATTTTGATGTTTAAATTTTTAAATTTATTAGACATGATTTCAAATCCAAATTGAGATTATGTTAACGCAAAAGTACCATGAGGACTTTAGTGCACAGAATACAAATTAGCTTTCTCTGTATTAAAGGGGAGCCCTAAAACATACATAATCAGCTTCAGTCAGATGCTTCTGGATTGTATGGGGGAAAACTGATTACTTTAGTGAATACATTAAAATGTTTCTACAATTAATATTAAAATATTAAAAAAACAGGTGCTTTTTCACCAGAATTGAACTGTTCAAAACCCTTATTGTTTCCATCAGTATTTCAAGTGAAAATACGGGTCCAAGAATAAAGGCACTTAACTTTACCAGAATTGCTGAAGCATGTCTCACAAGCCAAGAACACATTCTGTATCTAGTCCTAACCCTCCTTCTGCTTGTTAAAAAGAAAAAAAGCCAAACAACTATGTTGCTTCTGAACAAATCTTTGAGGCAAATTCGTATGTGGATTCACATGGGGATGCCCAAGGGCAAATGGTCATTGGATATTTAATCTATTCAGCACCTGATAGCAAGTCCAGCGCTTGAAATTACGGGCTATTTCCAGAATCTGGGCCAGACAAAATCTACCAACTTTAAAATAGAAACTGTATGGGAAAAAGCCAATTTTATTACCTGCAGGAATACTTAGTGTTTTGGGAGGCCAGTTCTTGTTTTGGCTAAAGATTTTTGTGAGTAAAATTTTTGCCTTTAGCTGTCTCTCACATTGTACCAATTCCATTACTTTTCCCCACAGACACTTCACAGCACATGAGAAGAGTGTCCTCTGTTATAGCCCATACGGTCTGTTAGACAGTAATACTGATGTTCCCAAGTCAACCTGAGGGATGCCCAAATCCTTCTGTAACCAAGAGAAGGGGTTTTTTGTTTGTTAAGAAATTGATTGAGAGCCCAAATGTTGGCAAATAAAGTGATTATACTTAGGAAACATGTAACAGAGCCATCACTGAAACTACTGAGAACAGCCCCCTTCCTCAATATTTCCATTTGTGGCTTTCTCCAGATTTTCCTTTGAACCTCTATTCGAGTGAGAACATGACATGGTAAACTCTATGTTGAAAACACTACGCGAAGAGAATACATCGTCCGTGTTACTAGTCTGTGACCTCTGTTTCTATCAATTAAGGCATCCAGCTGCCCCACCTGAGGACGCTGGCAGATGTGATGCTCCTACTTCCAGTAGATCTTACCGGCTTCCCCAACCTGCACAGCCCCACTGGCGACAAGCTGCAGGGCAGCAGGGAAGGCTCGGTGCTCAGCCTCCTTCACCCTTTCGGACAGGGTCTCCACTGTGTCACCAACCTTAACTGGAACCGCCTCTTGGAAAATGATTGCTCCAGCGTCAACTTCCTCCTGTAAAAGCAATAGCCAAGAAGTCTATGCGGTTGAAAGAGGACAACAAATGTAACCCAGCTGCCTTGGGGATCTGTTTATCATTACACTATTACAGAGAACATGAATTTGGGCTCATGTGAGGAGTGCAAAAAAGATGCTGGCATCCACACTGGCCTGCAAGGCACTGACAGAAGTGTAGTGTTCACAGAAAAATAGGAGGTAGGCAGAACACCATCGAGTAACATTTCCGCTACAGAAAAGAAAAGAAAAAAAGCCATGCTAACTGGGGACATGATAGGCTAAATCGGACCAAATGATGACATTTCAATTCAGAAGAGTGAATTAGCCAAGCCATGGCACAGAGCCGGAGCAGAGGACACCGCAGGTCTTTCTTCTGCATGTCAGTGAGGCAGATCCCCGCTGCTGAGTTACTGTTTCTCGGTACATTGCCACACAGAGAAGAAACCCAAAGTCATATCATGGAGAAAGGAATGCAATTTTTCCTTCTTTCTGGAAAATAGTTTTTATCTCCTTTTCCAAGAGAAAGGAAAAATCATGAGAACAGATGTCAGGAGCAGTGGAAAAGGAGAGGATAATCTGAAGAATGCAGCAAAGAGGAGGAGACTAGTTACTGTCAACCCTGAGAACTGAACAACATGGAAAAAATGCACCCTGAGGTGATAAAAATGTGCATCTTCCCAGTGGAGACATCCCTGGCTTTTGTTTTCTTAGTTTCTAACAGAAATTGTGAAGTTTTTCTCCATTACCACAAACACTGGATTACTTCTCAACAAATCAAAGCTTCTTGCACCATTCCCAGCGTTGTTGGTTGTCGAGTTCTCTTTTTTTCTTTTCTTAAAAGCAATGACTCAGGAAGGTTCTACAATAAAATCTAAGAGTTGGTGCTGTGTAGTAATAAAGATCTGGGGTTAGCCAAGGCCTTATATGAACTAGTACCCCTGCTCCAACTGGTGCTGGTAGGAAGCAGTGGGATGCTTAGGGAAGAAGTTAGCTTAGGTAAAGCCTAAACTCCTGTATAGACTATTAATTTCCAGTTCCTTCTCCAGGGATGGCAAACTAAAGCTCTATATTGTCTAATAATGTTACAAATGAACAAAGGAGCAAAGGTGATGGTATAAAGGTGTTCCAAGCAAGCTCTGAGGTGAAAATCTTAAGACTAATGAATTACAAAGGGAAGGAGAAGAAAGTACTTACAGCTACAAAGTGTACAGTGCAGCCTGTGACCCGCACTCCAGCCTGTAACACCAATTTGTGGGCATTTGCACCCTTAAAAGAAGGCAGTAGAGATGGGTGGATGTTCAGTATTTTTCCTGAAAATTACAAGTAAGATCATTGCCTTTCAGAATTCAGCCTTACCAGTGTGTTCAAAAGTACCATAATCAACAGAGGAACAAATGACATTAGTGAAGATTTTTCACACCTTCTGCATACACTTCATTTAAATGATACTGACAGACAACCACCCAAAGCATTTCAGAATGTCTCGCTCTTTCAGCAATCAGTTACAATCAATTGCATGGCTAAAGCACATTACTCCAGTGACTAATAGTTTTGATGTAGCTGCTCTTTCCCTCAGCACCTTGTTCTTCTTTGCCTTGATCACAATCCTCTTTCTTAGAAACTCGGTGCAGTTTCAAATGATGTAACAAATGCCCCATGACATGGCAAAAATTCTTTAGCCTGGACTTTTCCTCCACACCTGTTTTGGCTTAATGAAAGACAACAGCTGCTCATACGAGAGCCTTCTCTCTGCCCTTCTGAAAAGCACTTCTCTGTCACTACTGATTTCTATGTGGAAAGTTGGCAGGGGGCTCTTGAAATTGATAATGTAACCTCTAACGCTCAGCCGGATGCAACCATAGTTATGTCCCCAGGAAGCATGTACCTTACATTTGCTTTAGAAGAGAAAGCATATGCCTGCGTTCCCACCTAGATGTAAAGTAGGGGAGAGTGGCTGCTCATGACCTCAGGGTCTCACCACTGTGGTAATGCAATGGTTAAACCATGAGAAAACCTTTCTTCTTGCAGACTTCCCCTGTTTGCTCCTAATAGTCTGTGATAACTCCTCATGCCCATTGTGGAGCAGAGTGAAGTCAAAAGGTGCTTGACAGCCCCAGATCTTCTCTTAGATACAGTACAAACCTTTACAGGATAAAAAAAAGTGGCCATCAATACTATTTATACCCCAGAATGTTTCGCCCACGCCGTCTCTGCATGCCTCCTGTTTAGGAAGACCGTATGTCATAGGGATTCATTGAACACCACCTAAATGCCAAGCAGCGAGACGGAGCTGACAGATGCTGGCGGAGGCAGCAGTGTACTGAAATAGAGGCTTATGATTTTGTAATGTGAAGGGAAGGCCATTCCTGGCAGCACCGTGCAAAACCTGCCCGCTCAATGCAGTAATTCATGCAGATGGGACTGTGCAACTTAAAAGAGGCAAATGTATTGGCTGATCTTCAGCAATATCTCAAGTGTGGTTTGTATCTCCAAAATACCCTTTTTTGAGCATCAGCACCTCCCTGCTTGCTGCTCGAGTAAAAAAGTATTGGGGACAGTAGGCTGAAAACAACACTCTGCCCTTTTGTCTTAAGTTTCCCCACTTATTACAATAGCGTCAGAAACTGCTCTAAAGGAATGTGGGTTTCTGTTTGCTTGGTCTTGTTTTGTTTTTTAATCTGTCCTTTACGTTAATATTGAAAATTAACATTTCAGGGCCATTAAGCCAGACAGAGTTTCATAAGTAACTTCACACTCAATGTCCTTGTGACTGCGAGAGGAAGAAAAAGCAACAGCTTCTAAGAGAGCTGCAACAAGAAGTGATTACTGGTGGACAATTTAGGGCAGTCAGCACCTGGACATGTCTTGAGTCAGAGTTTTACAGCAGGTTCCAGTTAGCTGGCACAGATCCCTGAGCTCAACTTTGAGCTCACACCTGAGACTCAACTGAAGCATACTCTTGGTCAGAGCTCACACAGGTGTCTATTTACAAGCTCAATTCAGTGCTGGGCATTTAAAAAGTGAGTTAACCATTCTATACTGAAACAAGTCTTTTCTTTTGCTCTCAGGCCAGTCATATATATAATGCAAATCTTGCACTGTGTAGGGCCATCATGCTCTGTTCCTAAATCAGAGGGAACTAAACCCACCCTTTATTTACAAGGTCTTTGCACTGGAGAAAGTTCTTTTCCATCCTCTACACAGATACTCAAAAGACATCTCCTGTAGCGTGGAATTCCTCTCTCCCAACTACAGCCATCTGCAGCACAGACTTTTATGTCTTCTGGACTCCATAATGAATGGGAAGAAACAAAAACAATTCACCTGACTTTAGCTGACAGCTTTAGCATAAAATGAATTGCCTCCTAGGAATGCCTGGTTTGCTCCACTGGTTTTTAAGAGAGGTGTGAAAAGTAGTTCAGGTGTAAAAGGTCTGTTATCACAGACGCACCCAGGGGAACACAAAAGTCACCCTGTGAACAGTAAGGCCACCCAATGTGTAGGCTGACCAGCCTGCAATTAACTGGTATGAGCAAGAACTAGTTTAAGTAACCCTGACTGAACCCAAAGCAGAGCAAACACTGAAAAGAGCAGCTGTTTGTGTGATTCGGGACACCCTGAAAGAAACAGGGGTAAGAGGAATGTAACAACTGGGGGAGGGAGAGCAGCCGCTGAAGTAGGCAGAGGTGTTACCAGCCTGTAACAAAGCCCTGGGAAAACTGTAAAAGATGACCAGAATGGAGACACTGTAAACATGTTGGACCTATGTGCCTGTGAAACCTGCCACTTGGATTCAGACAGCTCCTCTGATGTCTGACCAGACGACTGGCAAGGTCGTGTTAACAGGAACTGCATGTTACTGCCCAGTTCTGCAGTTTTACACGCAGCTGAAACAGCTAATCTGTTAGGGGAACAAATTCTCAGTGTGTGGATGCTCACATCTGCCTGACCAACACCCTCTGCTTAGGCAACAATTTGCTCTGCATCTCATGTTTGCAGAGATCTAAAGCCTTCACAACCTTATTTTTAAACATTTTCTAATAAATCAAAGACTACAAGATCTTCACTTGCCCTTGGCTTCCTTAAATCTCTGTGGAAATGACAGAGGGAAGGGGAAAAATACTGCCTTTCTCTTTCTTATACCTTTCCTTACAAGATGGGAAGAGTCTAGTTTCCTGCAAACCCAGAATTAGTATGATCACATCTCTATATTTTTCCCATTTTCTTCTTCCTGAGGATAAGGTATAAAATTTCTTTTATTAAAAACATGCATATAGTACTATGCTGGCTTACCTTCCCATTTTTTGACAAAAGGACCTGACAGTATTCGCATAAATCCAGCCAGACAGATCAGTTCAACCGAGAATTCTTCAAGGACTTTGTCAACAGCACTGTCAAATTCAGTGCGACTTTCATACAATTTATGGTCAATAACCTGTGATAACCCAAAAGACACAGAAATAGGGACATGGTGTTAGTTTAATCGAGCCCTAAGAGCACAATCAAATGATAGCCTGGAGTAATAAAACCCAAGTTAATATCCACGTGTGGCTCAAGTTGGGTGCACATGCACAGCAAGAAGAGTTCATAAATGCATGCAGCTCACAGGCAAACTTGCAATCTTTATTCCTGTTCACAAAGAGCTATCACCAGAATAAACAAGAATTTGGTTTTATTAGGCCCACAGCTGTAGGCCCCAGCATTCTGACACCATGTAACAACCTACAAATGTAGGTCATTAAGACAACCTAAAGTCTTACAAGTATTTCATTCAATTTAAGGCCTCTGACAGTTTTAAGCAGTTGAACCTTGCTAAAAATTTTATCACAAAACCTTGACAGAAAGGCTAATCACAACTCATAAAACAGCCCCTACTGCATAAGGTCAATGTTCTTGAGTTACATATTTTCCATCCAGGACACATCCCCTCGTTTAAGCAGGAAGAAGGCAGTGCTATGTAACTTAAAACATCCAGAGTCTTTAAAATAAAAGTATCTGTTAATGCCTACCAGATTTACCACAGTAGTTTTGAAACACCAGAAGCGGTTAGCTGAGAAGGTGGTAGAGAGCACTGGAAATAGAGCCCAGCTCAATACTGGGCAGAACTACCCAGTTCTGGCACAACATATTCCTCAGTGCCCCTGTTTCATCACTTTCCATCTTAACCATTGAGACCATCAGCCACCCCAGACTGTATTTTTTCCCCTCATTATATGTTTGTTCTTCCCTGCACACCATGGACATACTTTACTTGTGATCCTTGTGTACTCCCAAATAACAGACAGCAATGCTGATGTTCAAATCCTGCTACCATTAAAGTTAATAGCAAAGCTTGCATTAAGCACAACTCTTCCCTGTGCCCATAGCTATCAGTGAGAAAGAAGTGTCTGTAAAATGCTAAGTTAGAACAGTAGCATTTCACATCTGTAATACAAATGACTGAACAAAGAGCAAAGCAATGAAGTGCTCGATTCAGTGACACTAAGGGAAATGCAGTTTGGTTTGCATTTATACTGAAGAGCCTGAAGCAATGCCCAAGTAGTCGGTGGAAAGTCCTACTGTGTTTGACATCCCTGTTTCAGCCAAATGAACTACCATGTCTGTTTAGCATGTAATTTTAAAATTAAATTTGGATAAAATAGCTTGTTACTTCAGTGTAAATGCACTACACTTAAATACATGGCAAAGTTTAAACTGTAACTCGTGACAGTTTTGCCCTTGTTTAATATTGACTGCTCCCATCAGGATTGCTGGCAGCATCTCTCAGAAGGAGAAAGTTTGCTCAAGGGCATAAATTCATGACAGACTGAAAAAAGAAAAGCTAAGGCTTCCTATCAAACCATCTTTTACCCCAGTATAATTCGTTATGTCACAGTGCCTTCCCACTATAGTCAGAGACAATGATGGCTAGTTTTAAAAAGATGAGAAACACTTACCCTTGTAGAAATACCAGCTTTTTCAGCTCTCCTTAAGCCCTCCACACCAGCTTTGTTAGAAACAACAAGAACTATTTGTGCAAAACTGGTGGGTTTCTTTGTGCTGCTTATGAGGGCTTCCAGATTTGTGCCTATGAGTGACAAAATAATTAATGAATATTACATTCCTGGAGAATAAATATAGTTAAGAGCCAGAAGAGGTTTTAAATAAGCAGCAATGTGAGTGAGACCCAATCCAAAAATCACTGATGTTAACAATAATCCTTTTTTAATTGGTATTACTGGAGGCTGAATTTGACAGCTGGAGGCTATAGGGCTTTTACTAGCAATTAGATTTGCAAACTATAATTCATGGAATTGAAATGATGGTCTACCCCTTAGCAAGTGAGAATACTGGAAACCCTAGCAGAGCCTATCTGGCAAGAAGAAATTCTGATCTATTTGTGAAATAATGCTGTTATTCCTACAGTGCAATCATTATTTGGATTTGGAGATATGCAGAGTCTGTAGATAAAATGAACACAGGTGTAATTCAAGTGAGTTTGCAGCAGAGGTTAAAGATCATTCTGTTTGTGACTGAAATTAATCCATGAGCCAAATCCATCCTGCCTGTTACTGAAAGCCTGCTAGAAGCCTATCAGAACCTCCATGGAGAATTGAAGGACTTATGAGATTTTACATCTAAGATCAAGTTCTGTTTTCAATAGTCTGTTTTACACTGTATTGAAGAATATAACTCTCACCTGTTCCAGAGATAAGGACAGCAACCTTCACTTTCTTTGTTTGGATTTTGCCTTGGATATGGCTGCGCAGAGACAATGACCTATTTGCCTGCAAGGCTCGAAGCAGATTATGGACTTTAACATGGGCAGAGCCTGAACACAAGAGGAAAAAAAAACAAACGAAGCAATGCATAAATAAAAGGAGAAACAGAGAGGGGAGGAAAGCGCTCATGAAAAGAGATTAATGACACTGCTTTACTCCTCATTATTTATTTATAGTTATGGTGACATCTGACATTGCTAATCACGTGTTCTATGGACTAAGACTGAAGTCATAAGGGCTGTCATTTTAATACCTTGTGCAAAAAAGCCATGGAGGTGTCAATCAAGAGATTTTCAGCTAACCTCCATGAAGACCCACCAGCTAAGGAACTAAGCTCTGCATTTTTTCTTTAAGGAAAATAAAAATGTAATAACCTTTTTGAAGGGAGACAACTTTCCCAATCAGCCAGGCTGCCTCATGTCTCTCTATGTCCTTGAGGACCTGCTGAGCCAGCTCCTTCTGAACTATCAAGACAGCACCGATGCCACAATTAAACGTTCGAGTCATTTCCTCCTCAGAGAGGTTCCCTTCTTTATGGAGCCAGCAAAAGATTTCAGGAATCTTCCAGGTAAGAGCATCTGAAGAGAATTGAAAATACAAATGAAGAGTGGAAATCAGTACTAACGGACAAATACTAAAAGTATTAGAGTATTGAGAGGCAAGATCTGTGTGAAAAGTACAGATAAAGTCCCACAGCAGCATTAGCTTGAGTGAAATCAGCTTCCATGCACAGAAACAGGATTTTTGTTTTTGCTTCCTTACTGAACAAGGCTTGGGAGTAGAAAGAAGTATCACTCTGGGAAGAAAATAATCATATTGCTCTGCTGCAATCCACTAATCAGTAATTCAAAGTGGGCTCTGAGGCATTCCTTGGAAAATCCTTGTCTTGAAGATGACACTTCTGCTTCTAGAGAAACTATTGTACCAGAACAGTAGCCTTAAAGCTGTCAAAAAAGTCTCATATTGCCCATAATTCTGACCAGGTAAAGATGATTTACAGCAGCATGAGAAATGCTTCTGGACAAGCTACTGTAAAGGAACTCCAAAGACACTAAGTTTCTTTCTTGTGTTATTTTTAAAATTGCATTATCTCCATTTATATATACCAGTGCCCACTAGGGAAAAATGGAAGAATGATTTACATGCAGTTCTGGAGTGCAAAAGTCATTATTAGTTCTCTTACTTTATTCTACAACACAGTGAACACTGCATAGACTACAGTAAGTCATCTACCTTTCCATACTACACTTTGTAAGTGAAATACACTTTCTACCACACCTGATGAGGTTGTGGTGAGGATTAATTATGGTATGTCAAATAGCAAGAGATGTACTTGAGCTAGTAATCGTATTTGAATGCTAATTCAAGACTTCATGATTATCATTTAATTAGCAATAATTCTGTAGGTTATTGCAAATTGTGACAGCTCACTTTGGATTGCTTTTAAAGTTGTTTTATTTTAGAAGTATGAATAAAATCCAATCCAAAGCACCACCAGGGGAAGTGAATTCAGTGGCAGCAGTCCTAAGACTACAAAGTGTTTTGACTGGCTCTGATTCAGACACAAGGAGAAATTCAGCAACAGTGAAGAAAAAAGCAAACATTTCTAGAGAGGCAAGTCTAGCTCTTACAGCACAAGTCAGCTGACACAGCCCTACTACAGAGGTTTCCACATCAATCCATATTAACATGAGGATGCTTCCATAGCTTTTCTTTTTATCTCACCTAAAACGACACCAAAGGACTCTGGGAGAACTCTGGGGATATTTTCCAGCAAGCCCCCTCCAGTGATGTGAGCATAGGCTTTCACATGGCCTGAGCGGAGGACGGGCAACAGAGTCTTACTGTAGATTTTTGTTGGGGTTAACAAGAGATCTCCTGTAGATGAAAGAGGGTGAAAGAAGACCAGTTACAGCACAGAAAGAAATGTTAATCAATATACAACTGAGGAAATCCCAAAATATTAATTTGCTGGAAATTAATAAGCATTGTACCACAGAGAGAACCACAATGTTCTACTTGTTTGGCATATGATTATTTATTTATCACCCTCCCCTTAATTTCTTTCCTGCATATGTGATTCAAGGGAAAAAAGAAGATGAAAACACATTAAAGAATATTTTTTTTAGTGCCTTAGAAAACTTACAAAAGCAAAAGAACAGATAAAACAATTGTGATATTTGCATGTTCAGAAGTTCAAGTTATAATGAAAGAAACTGCATGGTAAATGGTACCTAATGTCTGATGACCAGAGACCTCAACCGGAGAAGAGAAATCAAATGATGACTTTTCCACAATCTTCCTTACAAGGCTGTATCCATTGCTGTGAACCCCTGAAGAAGCTACTCCAATGACCATGTCTCCATCAGTGATTCTCTCCAGCTGGGGCAGCATCTGCCCTCGCTCCACTGCACCGACAGCAAAGCCAGCCAGGTCATACTCTCCAGGTGGATACATGCCTGGCATTTCAGCAGTTTCTCCTCCTGTGGGAAACAAAAAAAAAGAGAAAGGGGATGTTGTAAAACCGATGGGACTGGTAGGCTTGCAATTTTTCAGTTCTAAATTCATAAGGCATTAACAGAGTAATTTTTAAATTACATTAACAAACATTAAAAATAATTAAAAACATGCTTGTCACAGGCCCTTCAATTGACCAAGCAATACCAAATCAGGAAAGAATGCTTCCTCTCTCACTCTTGTGAATGCAAATCAATCCGATACATTTAATATTTAGTCTTTCATATTTCCAAATTTCTGTCAGGTTTAATATTCTCCATGCCAAGCTTACAAGATACAAGTAACACAAGAAACTCATTCAAGGACATCAAGGGAACAACATAACTATGTAGTCCCACTTGCCTTCATAAAGTTTTTGAACACAGTGCTATCCTGCTTGCCATTCCTGCCCACAACCTGGCCATCATTATCACTATTTGGGCTCCAAATTTACATGAGTGATGGTGGAAGCTGCAGTTGTGCTCAGTGATTGCCATTGCTCAATACTAGATTCTCTGGAAGCTTTTCCAGGTTTCTAAATAACATTGCTATAATCAACTTTAAAATCAAAGTGTATTTGCTTAGGTACATCTGTTTAAAACTGTATTTAATAACATTTCTGCAAAACCAAGCATGTAGTTAAGCCTTTCAGTACCTTGCTATCAAGTGGTCTGATGAGCTTAAGGTGACTGAGCTGAATACTCAGTTATTGCAGAAATGTAATGTAGAAATTTAGAAACATGTTTCAAATGAGACTTGTATGAGATGGTACTATACAAAGACAGGCTGTGCGTGTGCACAGTTATATGAATGTGTGAAGCTAGAGCCCAAACTGAACTTTATTTCAATGCTCCAGGCTACAGGAAAGCATTTCCTCCTTAGGTTCGGAGTTACTGCATTATCTCTGTCCCTTCTTTTCCAAGAGTGCCAGAAATTCGGAGAACAAATCATGGTTGTTTTATTTATAAGTTCAGTGGACTTATTTTTTTATTAGCACAAAAATGTATTTGCTAACTCATTTACAATCCCAAGACATTGTTCTTCAGTAATAAATTTAAAACATCTAAAGCCCTTTGTAGTCTTAAAGTCTTACAACTGGAAATAGAATCTTGACATTTCAGTAAGTAATTTCACACCAAGATTTCACATAACATGTACTTATGCTAAAGTATGAATGGTTTGATTATACTGGGTAAACTGAGAGAGCACCTTAAGAAAAATATAAAGCTGACTAACAGTTCATGCAGAAAAAATTAAACCAGAACATAAGTAGCCTCTTGTTAAAAGCTTGTAAACTACCTCAAAATGACACACTCCCAATTACAAAGGGCTTTTGTTACTAACTTTCTTAAAGAATTAGAAAAAAAGAACAAAATTACTGTATTACAAATTATAAAGTGGTACCTAATGTAAGACACTTGAACTGTCATTTTTAGTATCAAATTAAAGGTAATATTTGAAAAATCGTGGCAATTCTCCATGTCTGGTTTTATACAAAAAGAAGGAAAAACAAAAATTATGTGAGGAAACAGAACTTTCTGGGTTTATTACTCTAAAATTTAACATTGTACTCCTTTTATAAACTAAAGCCTTATACAAAAGAATGTATTTTGGACTGACCTAGAAATATTTTTATTGAGCTAAACAGTGTTGAAGCTGTAATTTTTAAGATTCAAAAAATATTGTACCATTTTCACAGATAACTAGACTACTGTATACCAGAATACATACATATGTTTTAGTAAAATGTAATGTGTACTTGTATTACAGAGTTGAAAAGGAAAATGTTTAAATTTGAAATTAACATTTTGGAATATGCTCATCTTGGTGAAACAAATCTTCAGCAGACAAAGATTTTTTTCTGTTAGTTTTGTAAGTAGTGAAACCTGTTTCCTTTTTATGTTTCTGTCTTGTGGTTAATGCCTGCGTCTTAAGTAATGAGCCCCAGCCAAAGCTTTTGTTGCATTCATAAGGACAATCTTGGACTTTCTAGTTTTATGAAGCTTGCAGGAACAAACAGCTCTAAGATCTCTACCTTTCCTATTAAATTGGTTAAAATCAGCCAAGAAGTTCAAAAGATAGTATGTACACACATAGGTACAGATGCATTCACAGTAACACATATAAAACTTGTTTCTAGTGGAAAACTTGAGGATTTCCTTAGGATAAAGGATAAAAAAGCCTATTTGGTATATTTCAAAATTTACTTGAAAAATACAGAGGATTAAAATACATGAATTGTTAGTTTTCTAGATAGCTGTTATTGTTACAAAGTTAAATGAAAAGATACTAATAAGAAAGTTTATATGCAACTTCCTGAGCTAATGGCAACATTTGCATGGAGTACTGTCGCTTTCCAGGGGAGATCATGTTCTCTGACAGGACTGACAGAAAAGACATGTGACACTGTGGGGCTTGTTTTCACTCCTCTGAGATTTTTCAGTAGAGTAGGAAAACAAGCACATTAAAAACAATTATAAATGTATTGCATCCGATTTTTCATATCCTTCAAAGAAGCATGTTCATACCTAAAAGTGCACATCCTGCTTTTTTGCAAGCTTCAGCTATTCCTGCAATGACGCCCTGAGCTACTTCCACGTCAAGTTTGCCACAGGCAAAATAGTCAAGGAAGAAGAGGGGCTCTGCTCCTTGAGCCAAGATGTCATTCACACACATGGCAACCAGGTCTTGACCTATGGTGTCATGTTTCTTACACACTTGTGCAATCTGCAAAACACATCGAGAGAGAAGGAACCCGCTGGTTAGCTTCGAGAAACTGAAATGCAAGCAGTCTGCAATGGAAGGGGATCAAAAACATGCTGTTCCTCCTGATGCTTTATGAGGAGCAGCTTCATTTCTTATCCTCGCTGTGAGCCTCTCCTAACATTTCATTTTAGGAAGTGTTACTTTCTCAAATGGCAAGTACAAAAGGCACTTTACGGAAGGGGACTGGACTGGAAAGGGTTTCATTGCAGTTTGTGTAAACACAATAGCAACTGTATAGTTAAATGTTTTTCCTCATAAGTAACCTTTTTGAGGGTGGAAACTCTACCTTAATGAAATGGAGTCCCCAGTTCCGTATTTAATATTAAAAATGAATTATTTTAAGCATAATTTTAGGTATGGCTATTTACATGGCATAAGCTAAAAGTATATTTAATTATTTTGCCTCAAAGAGGGCAATTTCATTTTTCATACCCTTTTTAAAAAGACAAAGAGGTGTTTCTAAAAGACAACTGGCATTTTCTGCTGAAACATTTTCCATTCTGTGCTATTTTCCTTACTTTACATGGATTTTCACATTACCTTGAGTTTTGTGCCAACACCATCAGTTCCAGATACCAAGATAGGATCTTTGTAACCAGCTGCTTTCAAATCAAAGAGGCCAGCAAACCCTCCAAGTTCTGCATTGCAGCCTGCCAGCCAGAAAACATGAAAATAGTAAATTTTTACTTTCATGGCTTTCTCCAGGATCCCCAACATAAATTTGTCAATATGACTTTGCTTTGTCAACAGGAATCTTTTCTCTGACATTTAGACCCTCTTCATAGAGGCACAGGAGCTCCTAACTTTATGTTTGCTTTGTCTTTTTTCTTCATTACCTAAGGCAATGCAAAACTTTGTGATTGAACATTCAATAATTACTACGACCGATATATTTCACCCTTGCACTTAGTATTTTTATGGACAAAACCAACCAAACAACCCCCCCCAAAAAACCAAACAACAAACCAAAGAAAAAAAACAGAAAAGAAACTGTAGTAACAGATTGAAGCCCACTGCTTCCTGGGAAAAGATGATATCTAGACATTTTCCACTGAAATTTCTTATCTCTTTGTTAATACTTCTACTTACAGTATATTAAGACTCCTTGTTCCTAAGACTGGGTGTGATAGGTAAGTATATTAGCCTTGAAACTGAAACTGGCTAAATCCTAAGAGTGAAACAAACATGAGGAGAAAATACTATGAATGCTAAGAAATGACTAGTTGTACTAGTGTGTGTGCATGTGTCTATATTTTTCTATGTATACTAATGTTATCTGAAGGTTCTCAGTTAATTTGAAGTAAAATGTTTATTTCATAAGTGAATGCTATTTTACATCTATCAAAAGTATTGCAGGGACTTGCTAGAGCAAGATATGCCTGAGAGACTCCTAACATCATGACACTCAGGACATATAATTTAGAATAATTTTGTGAATAAAATCTGTAAACTTAATGAAGCACATCTTGAAGAAATCACCGGCATTTGCTTACCACAGATATTTCTTGTGTAATCTAGCAAGACACAGAACACATAAATATAAGCATTTGTATCCAGATCAAGATCAAATTATAAGCCTCATTGCCATGAGCTGACTGAAACAGGAATAGAAGGTGCAAGTCTTACCTGACCTTGATGTGGCTGAAGCTAGGGGTTTAATTTTCTGAACCAAAGTATTCCCTGCTGCAATGTCTACCCCACTGTTTTTGTAAGTCAAGCCTCTGTAAGAAGTTAAAAATAATGTTACAACATTTGATTACTAAATTCATAAACATTTTAAAATATTTATTTCTTTACATCATTGCATCACAAAGGGATGAACCATTCAGAATCCTATTCTGTTGTCAAGTACCACTATTTTCCTGCTTGCACAGTAACTAGGCTCACAGAAAATGATTTCTAAGTATTGCAGCACTCATTTCAGGCAGGTTCAATGTCTCAAAGGTTAATCTTTTTGCTGTTTGGAACCTGTCCTGAAGCAGGAAGTATTATACCAAAGACAGGAAGTATTACACCAAAGATAGGAAGATAGGAAGTATTATACCAAAGAAACAAAACTTCATGGATCTGCACCACAGAAAATCTGCCATAAGCAGTATTCAAATAGTACCAGATATCTTGAAGACAACACCAGAGCATCAGGATCATACTCTATACGGTCAAATACTAAACCAAAATGCATGCAAAAATGCACTGCTAAATCAGAACACCTCAGCACCCTGCAGGATTAACTCAACACAGAAGTATTACAAATATCAATAGTCCCCTAGGATACTTTGAGTTTTACAACTGTAACTTGCCTCTTTATCACCTGACATGGTACTACCACAAAACCAACTACACTTCTTTACTTAAATGGACTTTCTCTTAAAGTATATATTTTAAAGTTTATTCAAAAAGACCTAAACTCTTAAGGACCATTTGAACAATCTAGAAAGAAATCTCTGTAAACTCCAGGTGTTTCTTTTTCACATACAGCCATACAACAAAGAAACAGTACAAAATGGTATATGTCATTTGTCTGTCCATATGACTGATTGGGGACATTAAGCCTATCCCATATTTACGGAAGACTGTTTTCATTTTGGAGATAGTGAATGTAATGACTTAATTCTTAGTTGCATCACACGTATCTCACTCCAGTTAAGAAACTGTTATTTCTACACTGTCGGTAGCATGAACCAGGCTATATGGTGCATCCCTGTTCTAGGTTTATACTGATTTTAGCTCTATGATGTGATTCAGTATTAAGTTTAAATTCAAAGGGTGAAACACACCATTGATTACTGAGGACAAATACAACAAAACAACTGGCTGAAGAGCAGTACTACCAGGAAAATACAATGGTATCTGTACATATCACAGTTCAATAATTTGCAAGACAAAAACAACTTTCAGAAGCAGCTGTTCAGCCTGTGAATAAGACTCAAGGAAATACTAGCCTGCAATAACAAGTGACCAAAGTCAGCCCCGTTTAGTCTGGACACAATAAATATTTGCCATATTTTCACCTTAGTTTTAAAGGCATGGTATATACTTTGACTCTCCAAATAATTTTTTTTTTTAAATTTATTTTCTTGAATATTATTATTAAATAAATATTCTGGATTTTTCCACAAAGTGAAATGCATAGGACTTGATCCTGCAAAACTGCCAAGAGGAGGTGCATCCCCAACTTTACAGACCCAACCATCACTCTTCCTTAACTATGTGAAACACAGAGTCCAAGTGAAATATGCCTGTCTGTTCTTCCAATTTTAGGATGTCTGAGCAAAAGTTGGTGCAGACTCAAGGACAGTGAAACAAGTGTTCACTATGCACAGCTTTCATAAGCTAGTGATCCCCTGAGCACACAGGCACTCCAGTCAAGAAACTTGCGGGCTATGGCCCATGAACTCAGTGCTTTAGAGAACAGCTCATTAAAGAACCTTCTTGTCTCACCTTACACACTGACCTGATTTTTTTCCTACTACAATACAAATAGCACTTACACATTTTCATAGAAATTTCTCAAAAGATGCACAGCACTTGAGAGAGAAAGAAGACTGAATACAAACACCCTTGTTCATTTAGTAGGTTTATTGATGATAATTTTACAATATACTAATCAGTATACACTGGCAGCAAAAACGGAAGTCTTACTAATATGCTTCATGGACTAAAAAATACTCTGTTATCAAAAGTTATTGAAGCATAGGCAAGCAGATACGCTTCATATTAGGTAAAAATGAGTTAATCCTACATGCTTGTCACTGTAGCTTAACCCAGATTTGAGAGAATAAGAATATGGACGAGAGAGCCATCAAAAAGTGTGTTCCTTCCTTGGTTGGTCTTGCTTAGATTGCTTACACAGATGTTAGCTAAAACTTGTCTAGATTTATACATAGTATCAACATCAGTTTACTAACGTAAACTAGTGAGGCCTTTAAGTCCCTTTTACATCACTTATTTGCATTTCAAATACTTCAAATATCTACCTGGGTTGTTTCAGGAAAGCTATAGCCCGATAACCAATGTCCTTTCTATAAATGGCACCCTTGAAGTGTATGGCTGCTACTCCCTTGTTGGCTTCTTGCAGTGCTGTCATTAGATCCTCTTTAATAGCAGTTACTGTAAGGACTCTTCCTCCACTAGTCACCACTTTGCCATCCTTCAGGGCTGTGCCTGCATGGAACACCTGCAATCCTAGTTGCTTAGCCTTAGAAAGTCCTGCGATTGTTGTTTAAGAAAATAAAAGCAGAAAAATAAATTTATTAGAACATCCTCTATTAAATTACAAACAGTTATTCAGCACTGATTGACTACGTCTGGAAACCACAACTGAATTCAGTGTGATCATGTGGGAAAACAGGAATAAATTTGTAAAACCTACATTCTATGGAGAGACAGGTCTGCTACTTGTATGCTCAGAGACAAAGAAAGAGGTATTTAGCTGAGACATCTACATACAACCTCTAATTCCAGCTGGATTTTATACTTCACTGATATACAAACCACAGAACTTATCAACATCATTATGTAAGAATCAGTGATCAGTCCAGAACTACTTTACTGTAACACATATGAAAGAAACGCTAGAGAAGTTAATAATACAGTGTAGAAAATATGATGGGTGCATTAACAATAAATGTCAATGTGTGAAAACTAATTCATCTTTTCCTTACCCATAGCCACAAGACCTATAGTTTCTATGTGTCTGTGTTACACTGATACACCTTCATCCAGCAAAAGAGAGAATGGAGAGAGATCAGGAGAGAAGTCAGACTTCTGAGGTTTCTCCTGCTATATTTACCTGCTATTTCCAAACCCTTCGGATATGGTCCTGGATACCCTTCGCTAGCCATGACCACTGTCACAGCTGCACTGTCTTCAAACCACACTGGCATGGAACTAGACAACTTTTTATTGATAACTGCTTGCATGACTTCATACAAATCACTTTTCAATAGTGGAAGAATTACCTACAAAAACAGAGATCAGCAAATTCAAGAAAACAGTATAGATTGTTATATTTTCTCTCACCAACCTTTTAAAAATACTAATGCAACTGTAAAAATAACATTAAATACGTTTATATAGTATATTTTCACACATATATACATAATTTGCACAATCTGTGTACCTTTAAAAATACTATTCCTTGAAGGTAATTTCGGAGAGTAAAAGATCTGCTACATACGGAGGAGAAAAAAGTAGACAACAAAGAACCCTATTTGTTCTGAAGAATTAAAATGAAGTGGTTTGTTCCACTTATTAACAGGGAGTGGGGAAAAGAAGTGTTCACTTATAATAAAGTAAAAAAAGAATTCAAGTCCATTCCAGAAAAGATACGAAAGTGCCAAGTTTCACTCAAGCTTACCCTTGTAAAGCCCATCTTTGAGTATAACCTGCTGAAATCTTCTCTGGAATGGAACAATTTCATAACAGACCTTTTTGAGTAAACTCACCAAATATTTTAAATCTCAGACAGCTAACTGTTCATCTGAAAGTTAGGTAAGAATAGTAGTAGATGGCAATGGATATTTCTCCTCCCATAATGCCAAACTGTATTTACCTACACAATAACTCACCTGACATTCTGGGTCGCCAAATCTGCAGTTAAACTCGAGAACTTTAGGTCCATCTTTGGTAAGCATTAACCCAGCATAAAGCACACCTAAAAAAAAAAATTCTATAAAAAGCCATCTAAGCAACTGCATAGGTCATATGTTTCATATTTGTAATAGCATTGAAGCACACTTCTGCTTACTTAAAGGTAGGATGTTGACACTTGAGAAGTGTTAAAAAGAAATCAGGCAGAAACAGTTGTGGTTACAATTTTGCAGTTAATTTTCAAATGTTCTTCCCTCTGTTCTTCCTTACTTGACGATTATCCACCATTAATAAAAATTATATCCACTGATTTCAATGGTCACTAAATCAAGCCACTGATACCAAACCCAGTCTCCAAATAAATCAGTTATTTTCCTTAACTTACAGGGTGAGTTAGGCCTATGAAGAGGACAAAGTAAAAAAAATAGTCTTTCTCCTTATGATTAAAACCCCCAAACTTCTGTACATACCAAAATAGGGGACACCTTCTTTCCTCATGCCATCAACAGTTTTTTGAAGAACAGTATCTCTTATTTTCTGCAGTAAATCTTTAGAAATCTAATAAAATAGGATTAGAAAACAGTGTTTGTAAAAAAGGGAGTGCACAATTTTTCCTACCCTGATGGCTAGTCTTTTTAAGAATCAAGCAGAATACTTGGTGTCCTGCTTACTCCAAAGTGTTTCATGCTAGCTTGTTATAGAAAACTAGTATTTATTTCTCTCTCCTGAGACAACACCATTAAAACAACTGTTTGCATTTCTTCAGACACTTTTCCATGCTTAGATCTATATGTGTACACAATCAGCCTGGCTTCACTGGAACAAACCATTTGCACAGATTGGAATTTAGAGAAGGCGCCCCAAAGACAAATCAGCTGGAAAGTACAATGATCAATGAGCACATTTTATTCAATAAACAAAATTAATAGTTTTATAGAATAATAACCCCCTTTTCTAAATAACAGCCCTCCCCGCCTCAAATCACTGGCCATGACGTAGGTTAAGAGAAAACAAAGTAAGTCCTTTTGCAAATAGAAGTTCCTTGCCAAACGACCTTAAACCACAACAAAAATTCATCATTAGCTTAGTTCAGCACAAGATAAAAATGTGGTTTTAAGCACCTGGTTCAGTACTTCGTAACATTAAAAAAAAAAAATCAAAATATAAAGTTGCAGAAATAACATATCCACCCTTCCACTTCCTCCTGTTCATCATGTGGAACTGAAAATTCACACATGCTTTCCATGCTAGAGCTGTAGCACAGCTGTAGAGGAGCATCTCCTTATCAATACATTTTTACCTGAGGTGCTGGGGAATAAGCTCCCATCCCGCCAGTATTAGGGCCTTCATCTCCATCCATTAATCTCTTGTGGTCCTGGGCTGGAGGCATGGAAGCAATTGTGACGCCATCAGTGAAACATAAGCACTAGATAACAAGGAGAATAATTAAAACTCCAGTGTATGATTAAAATTAAAGCACAAAATTACAAGTATATTTGATTTTCAGTGTTGCAATAGATATTTAAGAGTATAAATTCTGTCTCCCTGATAAACTATATTCTGAATTTTCCCCTTTCCCCTCAGGAAGAAGTGCCTCATTTTTTACTATCTTGCTATGAAAATTACCTTTAATATAACACATAAAAATTACAAGATAGCATGGGTACTGAAAGAAAATACTAAAAAGGTTAAAAAAACATTTAAAATATTCATGATGGAAGCTATTTCCTCCCTCACCTTCCTCCCCTCCCCGCCCTGGAAGGAAGGCATTACATTCCTTTCAAGATTTCCTGTTCCTTGATAAAACTATTTAATTTTAAATTATTTATAAATCACTTATATAGCAGATGCTTTTAACCTCCTTATATTCATAATAACAGGCCTGCTGCAATCTTCTGAACCTCAATGATGATTTTCACTGACTGGACTACTGCTAGCTGTACTCAAAAACATTTTAGAATGCTAATTAAAAAAACAAACAAGGACTTCCCTACATAACCTGAAAATGCCCAAATATTAATACATGAAAAACTGTTAACAATTTTTGGAAGGTGAATTATTTTGACAGCCAAAGCAAGCAGCATGTTTTTCACATTTCCGTCAATTATCACAGAAAAAATCCCCTTTAAACTGCATGTTTGTATTATTGTATTAATTTACAGTAAGTATTTTAAGGACTAATTAAGAATGTTATATATTTTCCACCACAGAATGAAGATCTGGATAACCCTAGTTCCTAAACAGGTCAAGCCAACCAGGAAGGAGTAAGGACGCCTTGCGCATCTGATTTCTTCATAACAGGCAGGAAAACAGACTATGCAAAGATTGGCAACAGTTGGAGATGATTGCTTGCTTTATAAATACCATCACCTTCAAGATGAATGTTCACAACATCCAGCACAAGTCAATTCCAGCTCCAGGAGCTGGGAACCTGAGCTGGTACTTGGCTTTTCTACTTTATGGGAAGCAGGTGTCAAGTTGCTCTGACACCTCAAAACACAGGCTCTAAATTCTCCTTTTCTCTTTCAAACTCCACTAATCACATCAGATATACTTTTTTAAACAAATGAGCTGAATTAGTTTAAAATGAAGGAAATGTCCATTCTGCACATGTAGAGTAAATCAACGCTGTCAAAATATTCAACAGCCTTTGGTTCTGGGTCCCTTGTCCCCAGATGCACTTCCACATTGCAGTATCTAGTCCAATGAAACACATTAAAAAGGATCCAGAAGGTGCCTGTCTTGAGCTGATTGTTCTCTTGCTCCAAAGGAGTTTATGGCTCCCTCATCATGCAGTTCAACATATTTCCTTCATCAGCAAAGCTGATTAAATGAAGTCCCCATGCTCCTTTGCTCCGAATCACTCCTTGCTTTGCTCTGCACTTCGCCATCCTGTTACTTATACTGATTCAAAGTATAAGGTGATGGTGCCGATTTTGAAAAATGATCCTCAGATTGTAGCTTCACAAAGAGGTAACTAGTACAACTGAATCAAAGGCAAACAATAGTGAAGAGGTAGGAGTGTGGAAAGGAAGGGACATCTTATGCTGTCTTTGCTGTCAGAAATACTAACAGAACTGCATGTTCGATGATACTCAAAATTTTTAAGGTTTGATATTTTTTCCATGTGGTGAGAGTTGATTACTCAATTATTTTTATTTAATTTTTTTCAACAGACTGCAGGATGTTTGGTTCTTAACACAGCTGTCTTTAATTAACATAATTAAATTTATAAACAGATAACTGTTTTTAAGTAATAAAATCCTACACATCACTGCTGTAGGTACTTACACAATATTTCCTAAAACAGTTTAGAACAGGTATAATCAAAATGTTATAGTGAGATGCACACTTACAGAAACTTCTTCTCCTTCAAGAAGTTCTTCAACAACAACAGTCTCCCCAGCTGTGCCAAAAGTCTTATCCTACAGTAAAACCAAAATCTCTTTAGTTCTGTTTCTGTTATTTTAAACTATTCAAAATGCAACAAGAAAAAATATTTCTGCTACAGCAAGAAAGGTGCAGCACAGTTTTAAGACTATTAATCCATTCTCCACCCTGGTTATGTCAAAAATGGTAAAATCTTTTCTCCTCTTTTCTGTTTATTCCTAAATAAATGCAGATTTTATGTGTCAATGTTTTTAAATTACAGATGGTATTTATAACTTACTGAACAATTCCTCATGCTCTAGCTTCTGAAGTTTTGACCCATTATACTAATAGCAATGACTATCAAGTCTATAATCTGAACTTTTATTTTACAAGAAAGTGTCATTCTATGGAATACATTGGAAGAGGGCAATATTTTCATATTTCAATGCAATGTTTAAACACTGCCTGCATATTCAGGCAACTAAAAACAACCAGCCCACACTGACAAGGTAATTTTGGGGATCTGTAAGATACTTTTCATTTTTTGGTCAAGACACTGAGCCACTTGTTAAGACATATATTTGTCCAATAACCATACACACATAACAAAATGTGAGCGTAGATGCTATCTGTATTCTGACTCTTGAAATACAAGTGTCAAATAACACCTACGAATCAGGATAGCTCCACTGCACTGTAACATGCTGTGCTGCCAACACCAGCTGAGGACCTGACCTGTATGCTTCTTATTTTCCACCCTATATTCCTAGCTCTTCAGATAAAATTGCTTCATTTTGCATCTCTTCAGATTTTGATGGTCCTAACGTATTTGTTAAATATTGTACCTAAATGTATTTTGCTTGAAATAATTTCTCTGGAATTTCACTACACACTTAAGTACTGTGTGACTGGAGTCCTAAAGCTGATGTTGCTTGTCATGACCCAGGTCAATTACAGTGTTAGTGTTACAGCACTGTAGTACCTGCTTGATAGCAGCAGTTTCAAATGGTACAGGCAATCCATATGGAAGTAAGTGTGGGTTTTATTTAAGAATGATTCTATTTTAGCCTGAACTATGCCTAAAAGAGTACCCTGCCTCAAGCAATAAATATGACAAAGCTTCCTAGCTGTCCACATAACGGGTAAAAAATTTGATGCCTATTAGCCAAGTTCCTATTACACAGAAATAAAGAATATCTTTGAGATTCTGAGATGGTTAATAACTTATTTTGTGTGAGAATTCCTCCAGTTAGTGCATGACATTTCTACTAACCTGCATGATTTCAGTAACAGCTTTGCATGCTTCTTCCTTGTTTGAAGCCACAATTACTCCTTTGCCAGCTGCCAGGCCACTAGCTTTTACGACTAAAGCAGGGAAGTTTGCACTTCAAAGACACAGAAGACAGATTCAACATAAACACTCTGTATTGCAAATATATTTTGTAGACATTTTGAACATTTCAAATAGTTGAAAAATCAAAATACTTATAAGTTTTCATAGCAACCATTTTACCTTATTGATTAACACATAGATAAACACTAGGCTTCTCTCATGCTATGCCTGTGAGGGATTTCTGCTTCCCGTTTTTTTCTCCACCACTGGATTTCATTACTGCTGCTTTCCTTTTAATAATTTACTGCTGTATCATTTTTGGGTCACCTGAATTGTATTCTGAAGAGTAGAACAGCATTTGCTGAGTAAGTCTCCAATGCAGAATTTATATTTGTGGAAAAAAGGTACAAAGAAGGCAGAACAAATGACTACAAGACTTCAAGCCGGGTTTCCACAGTAGACAATTCGGAAAAAAAAAAAAAAAAAGAAAAAAGCTTGTCCTATAGTCTCCTGTAAAATGATTGTTTGCTTTGGATACCTAGCACAATGCTGTAAAAAGAACTATTTCTAAATTGACAAGAACTTTACCTGTTAATAAAGCTACATGCTGCTTTGGGATCAGTAAAAGATTTCCATCTTGCAGTTGGGATCTCGTGACGATCCAAAAAGTTTTTGGTAAAGCTCTTACTGGACTCCAGCTGAGCTGCCTTTGCTGTTGGACCAAAACACCTTACTCCAGCTGCTGTCAAGTCATCAACAATCCCTAAAAAGTACAACACATAAAAGTTTCATAAATCACCATATGAATTGAATGATTTCTCCCCATTCTTCTACTTATCACTTAACTCAGCTACAATTCATCCTGAACATCTGCTAGTTTTAGATAATCTTTATCTACATGTCCTGGTTTACTTATCATAAATTTTGGACATTCTGTTTTGCTTACAATAAATATTGTACAAGGTTATAAGGTCCTATAACTACATCAACTATGGTCATTTATCTTTTACAAGGATGACCACTAAGCAGAACTAAACTTACTTACTTCTAATAGGTTACATTTCATCCTGTTTTCTCTATTTCATCAGGTAGTCCAGGTCTTGCAGAACGCACAAGTATATCACAAATAATAAGCCATATATATCTATCCAGTGCCTATTTTAGATGCATTCTTCACTATAATCAGAAGCAGGCAACCCTGCAATATCTGGGGCTAAGAAGATATGCTGCATTTGGTAAGAGATTACAATCTCCCCTTGTTTTATTATAGCTTTTAGTTAAAAAGTTCACATTAGTATTTTGTGAAGATGACAATTGTTGATTGTGTGAAATGTTAAAACAGAAAAACTGCCAGCATGTTTATAAATGTTGTGGTTTTGTGGTTGGTTTTTATTTTGGTTTGGTTTTCTTACCAGGTCTGAAATTATTATCATTATTTGAAGAAATGAAAACTTCATCAGAAAATCAAAATTCTAGTTAAGTTTCCTATATGGAAACACTTTTGATACCTCCCCTACTAATTCCAAGCACTTAAAAAGAAACTGAATATTTAAGGATATTTTAAGTGTTATATTGTTCACAAAATACCTTTCAGAAATTCATTTTCACCACACCACAACCCTGAACTTCAGGGAAACTGACACAGAGAATCTGTTTCCGTTCCTACTGAAGACACTGGGATATGTCAGTGGTGCACAGAAGACAGGAACTTAAATTTACTTTTCTTCCTAAATCATGAAGACTGTTTTTTTAGCTTGCTTTCCCTTACCAGCAGCAAGAGGAACCTCTGGACCAACCACAACCAGCTTGATCTCCCGATCTCTGCAGAACTGGGCAAGTGCAGCATGATTGCTGACTGAAATAGCTGTCAAAAATACAAAAGAGTGGTAAGACTGGATTCATTACTTTTGCTTAGCATTTATACTATCAACACCTGAAGCAGCACTTTCATCAGTCTCACATACTTGAATGGCAGGTCGTTATGCATCTGGAAGAGTGAGGTATACACTAATATATAGACTTACATGCAAGGGTTAGACCAAAATACACTCTCAAGCCCCCAAGCAAAGGCTGTGGTTTGAAATGCAGTGTCAACCCACTTTGCTCTTGAAGGTGAGAAAACTAATTTTGGGTGCCCCTACACTGCCATACATCTCTAAGAACATCTTGTTTGCCAGCACAAGAGGTGTTGTGAAGGATTCAAGTGAAAATAACTCACAAGCAAAAAAAAACATAGATTTTTTTCAGCCAGTCTCCTTCCTGAGTCGGGTCACCATAAAGCTTTACACATGTCCATGCCAGTACTGTATAAGAGACAGGTACAAGGGGCTAGTGGCGGGATTGCAACTACTTTCTTTTCTTTTTTCCTTCTTTCTGTAGTGCCATGTTAAACTGACACCACTGAAACAAAGGGGAATCTCAACATTTTTTTATTACATTAGGCTAAACTTAATAAGGGCAGGTGCTGTAATTACGGGTAAGGTTATCTGGTCTTAGGTTTTTATGAACATTATTTTTCCATAAACAAACATTTAATATAACAATTCTTGGAATACCAAAAACTATGTAAACAAAGGAAAAAGCTTGCACAAAAGACAATAATGACAAGCGCCATGATAAAAAATTTACGCAAAGGCAATGCAATTCCACTGCTTTTATCAAGAATAAACAAAGCCAAAGTCTACAGAGGATGGGAATACAAACCCAGAACAGCCAAACCAGCAGTGAGCGAAGCCTGGTGTGTATTGGCTGACCCTGCAGGGAGGAAACTAACACATCAGCGCACAAAGCTGGCAAAGGGAGTATCGTACAGCACAGCACAAACCCTCCTTGCAACTGGACTACCTTCCTTTTAAGTTCTGTCTGTGATGTCCTGTTAGTGACTGCACTGCCAAGCATGCCAGGAGCTGATGGTCTCTTCCAGCTAGTTTCCAGGGAAGTGATAAGAAACAAAAGCAGTGGCAGTGATACAGCTGCTTCTGCTGGACAGACATGATTTTGTGTCAGTGCCCACTGTGCTCCTGCCATCCTGTATGACTAAATTGCCTGCTTCCACAAGGGAAGCAGCTATTTCTGCCTAAAAGACAGTATTAAAAACAACTATCTGAAACCCACACTGTGGTTGTAGATTCACCCTATTTGGGTGGAATGGGGGGAACAACAGACTGAACACTAATAAAAATTACCTCATTGATAGCTATTTCAATTATATTGTTCCACCAATATTTGTATGTAAGCAGAAGTGAAGGCCTTTGACTTCCTTGTGCAACATGTCAGTTGACTTCTGGCTCACAAGAGAGCAAAACCAAAAACATTAATACGCTTGGCTTTAAACTACTGATTAACATAAAGGTCAATATTGTATTTCAGTCCTATGAGGGTGTTGTGAAAGCAGCTGGAGAACAGCAGATCCCGACCAAAGAGAGTGGGAGCTCTGGTGGCCAACAGGGATGATCCCTGTTCCCTACAAGATTAATCCATGTGAAGGGAAGAAGGGAAAAGAAAGAGCCTGTACAGTGATTGTACTTTACATTCCACATTGTCTTGCGTTAGGTCTGATCTAATAGTGAACACGGCATAAGATTTACATGATGTGGAAATGTCCTAGTAACAAACAGAAAGGAACAAATCACATTGTTAATACATAATTTTAAATTTCCCCCAAACACCATTTTCCTCAGGATGCAAACTGAAACGGGATATTTTTGTAGCTGTGTTTCATACCTCAAAACAACAGCTAAATATTCCTTTTGAAATAAACAGAAGGACCTTGGACCAAGGTTTTTAAAGCTTAAAGTTAAAAGAGTATAAGTTACACTGACAGCTATAATGTGACTGAAGGAGGTGTCAGGGTGCTGAAGTCCATTCACAGACACACATACATCTATCTCTGGATTCAGCAAGCCCTTTTGTACACTTCTGGCACCAAAACTGCCATGCTAATTATATATAAATTAAATACAAAACTATATTTAGCCACTCAACCTACATCTGTCTTTACTGTCAGAAATGATTACTAACTCAAATTAACCATGAAAACTTTTTTTTACTTCGATACAAGCAAGTTTGAAAATTTTAAGTTTATAATTTTAAGCTCACATTTACGTATTTCAGAAATCATCTGAGAACCAGAGTTGCAATGCTAATTAAAGGCAATCTCATGAGCCATGAGAGGAGGATGAACTTTCAGAGACAAATCTTCATTGTACCAAAAAAAAACCAGAAACAATGGCAGCAGTTTCACAGACATTGCTGCCCAGGCTCACATAATCAAATAGACTCACATGCTTCTGCAAAGCTGTTTTCCATTCTCTCCCCCGAGTTAAAATCTAGACCCCGATGATAGGACTAAAATGCCTGGGCAGATAAGACAAATTGTTTCCTTAAAAACAAATAAGTCAAACTCTTCACAAATTCTAGATTCTGCCTGCCTCCTGGTTGGCTGAGCATTTCTCTCCCCCAAAACATGTGAACCCCTAGCCTATAAAAAAAGGTTTTAGTAAAAGATTTTTGGACCTGGCTCAAGCATTACTATGCACATGCTCAGACATTCTTCACTGTTGAGGGTGCAGTATTTTTTATAGACTAACAACGTGAGAGAAAAGTGCAGCAGTTTTTAAAAGACACTACTTGAGAAAAAATACTGCAATTAACATTCTGCAGGCCAAGCAGACTGGCAGTGTCTCCACTTATCACAAGGGTAAAGATTTTTGTTTGAACTTCTGGGATGCAAAGGAAACGTATGACTTTCCTGTGAAGCTCTTCCTTGGACCCACTCCTCAGAGGCCAAATTGAACAAAAAACTTATGATACTGTGACTAGTCAAAGAAATTAAGGACAAAGTTATTTACCCAGCCTGTAATTAAGTATTCCAATGTATTTGGAATTAAATATAATTACCTGCTGTACAACAGTCTGACAGGATTCATGTTTCCACATGAGGTGGTAACAAAATATTTTACTTGCATACAAATATGAATGCATAAAATTAATGTATATAATTCATGTTCACATGCATACTGTGTTAACTGTAATTAAGTATGTTACCACATGTGTTAAAGTGGAAACTTAAGCTGGTTTTTTAAAGTACCTAATTCAGGTTCTATTATATAAAGGACACAAGACATGAATCTGAGTAATTACGCTGGGTTTTGCAGTGATTCACTCTGTGCCTCCAGGCAAGCACCTTAGACCAGTATTTTTTTAAATGCAGCACACAATTTTGGATACTCAATTTGAAATACCTTAAGCTTGATTTCTCAAAACTACTAACTATGAATAATCTCAAATACAGCCAGTCAGAGCTTAACATATTAAGCTAGAAGCTCAAAATAAGCAGTCAGTACAAAGACAGAAACATCTGAAAATAACCATAACTTCTTAAGGTCACCAAGACAAAGGAATGAACATCTTCCTATGGTGGAACATTTCAGGCAAGAAAGCGTTCTCATCAAAGATTGTAGGGGGCTTCAATGCACTTGAGAATATAGTTGTGAATTTAGTACTTTAGGTGCTGATGTTTGCTTCAGGCACTTTTCAGTTGTTCACCAGGCATTGTTGAACTGCAGTGTGTACCAAGAGAAACCACCAACCACCACCCCTTCTCTGCTAGGCTGCTGGGAGTTGGGAACCACAGCAGCTATCTATCCTGAGCTGTATTCTTGGAGAAACGTGTATCTTGCAGATGGGAGTTTTAGCTGCATCCTCCACCCCCAAACCTAAAGGATTAGATATCACAACTGAGATAATATAATTAATTAATTCTTAACTGCATCTATGTTCTATTTCACGTGCCTAAAACATTAAAAGATAGCAATAATCTTTTCACATCAACAGCTGTGATTTCAGATCTATGACAAGAACAACCTACCAGTTGAGTTACCAAATTTAAAAGTGGTATTTCTGGGGGTTTTACCTGAATTTGAAATTTTTCCACTGTCAGCTGTTCCTGCATTTCCTGGAGCAACAAACACATGTTTTACATGTGGAGACTGGGCCAACTTCCAGGCCAGTGCATGCTCTCTCCCTCCACTGCCAATCACAAGCACTTGATCAGCCATTAGTCTGCATAAAACCAGAACACAAGCAAAACAGCCAGAATTAGCCGCGTGAGGTTAGGAAAGCAAGAGCTACACAGACCACAGGTTTTAAGTGCTGGATGCAACACAGTTCACAACAGATACAAACGTCACGTTGCTTCAGGCAACAGTATTTCTATAAAGCTTTTGTTGATCCAAAAACAAAAAAGGAGAGAGAGATACGTATATGAAAATAGATAACTGACTTAATCAGATGTGATACAAATTAAATATCAAAGACTGAACTGCTCCACAACACAGAATTAACTTGCAGAGCAATCCATCTTGGGTTTTCCTTTAGTCAGATTGGCAACTGCTACAAGTTATACAGAAGTCTGTGATATAGGAAAAACATGAGTGGCCAGACTTACAGAAATTCCTGGTGAATCCAAGTCTGCAAAGGGCAAAGCCCTTCTGATGAACTAACTGTATGAACACAGTACTACAGTGTTTAGAGCTGAATGGGAAATCAACTTCCAGCTCTGGCTTTCCTGAGAACAACCACAATGCAAACAATAGGGAAGACCAGGTGACATTAACGAAGAAGATTCCTCTGAGAAGGTACTGCAGGACATCCACTCCTCTCTCCCATTCCACCGAGTTTTAGGAAAACACATTAATGCTGTCTTGGCCTGAATAAAGCAGGTGTTTCAATGAAGGCTGTAACTTCATTACAATTTTAAACTGTCCAAAAACTTTTCAGCAGTGTGGAAACAAAATGGTCACAAAAATGAAATGAACTCTCAGTTTTGCCTTCCCTATGTCATCTGTATACGTACATGTAACTTACATGTATTGTACTGATGTCAATATTACAATTTTTTCTTTGAACAATTTTGAAAGTTAGCCTTTGCTTTTTAAGAAAACCTCTATGTGTATTCTTTACATATTTACTGATGTACACCACCTCAGAACTGCTACCCCCGACAATGATAGCTAGCAAGGAAGTAGGAGAATTTGCTTACACTGAAAAAACCCCACTGGAATTCAGAAAATCCTAAATAAATGAATAAAGTATATAATTTATAAAATATGTTCATATGTCTTTATTTGGAGCTCACAGAAAAGCAAGGGCTAACCTCCTAAACTATTCAAAGAATAAGCTGTTAAGAGTCACATTTGTCCAACCATACTTAGATTACATATACAAATGATGCCACCACACTGGTTAAAGTGAGAGTTTTATTCATAGAAGTCAAATGCTCCCCAAAGAAGTTATTCAGTGGAGACGAAAGCAAGCAGCTATAAGTTGGCAGGTGGCCCTAAGCCCAAGTGCAGCATGCTCTCACTACTTGCAAAAAAAACCCAAACAATCTAAAATCTTTAAATCCTAACTTATGCAAAATAACAATCTAAACCTATTTAAATCTATTTTTAAAATGGCTTAAGCATTTTAAGTAATGAGAATAAAAAAAATCAGTTCAGTGTTGAAAATGGCACAATTTATTCAAAGGGCTTTGCCTGGCCAGTGAAGGGGTGTGATGTGTCCCTCCCCTGTAGGAATCATTTCCCATTCATCAGGAGGAGGAATGCAACTCAGATAAAAGCCTTAGCCAAAAGGAACAACCAGTCTCCCTGTTGTAATCCCAGCATACGTAACGCGCAACCCTTGGTCATCCCTGTTCCTCTTCCATTAAGCAGCTGGTCATTGACCTGCACTTGCCAATGTGTACAGTGCCTCCCAAGGCAAGCTCAGAAAAAAAATCCTGACACACACCATAGCTTGAATACACACAGGTGACAGCTCCATTTCCAAAAGCAGTGAAAAGTCAGGTCTCCTCTGCAGTTCCCTTCTTTGAGGGAGGACAAGAGATCCTGACTAGAACAAAAAAAGCACATCTTAAAAGAAAAGGAAAAAAATACAAAACCACCAAACAACAGATTTCTAAGAGAAAAACAAAAACACATGACAGAAAGGAGATTTTTAGCCAAATGATAAGACAGTGACATGTGCCTCTCCCTCATCTCAGCTGCTACAGCTTCACTTGAATAGAGCTGCTCTGATAGTTCTGACCCTGAAGAAACCTGCCCTTCCTGAGGATCTGGACTATGGAGGAAACAACTTCTGCTCTGAGGGCACTATGCAATGTATACAGTGAGCCTGAATTTTAAATCCAAGCCCACTGTAAGAAACTTTAGATCAGAAGAACCCACATGTGTTATTCACTATGAACTAAACACACTGGAGTTAAACTTTAATTGTTGGTTCAGGCTGGAGGAGATCAATAACTTTCTAATCAACAGTGTTTGACAAGATACACGTTGCAAAGTTGCAGAAATGCTTTAGTTGCAAAACTCCAGACTTACTTACAATAAAACCAATAAAACAAAAACAAAAAACAAAAAACTTGGGGTAAAAATTATCAGTTATGGTACACATACTTGGGAAACCAAGTTATGCTAAGTCTCTTTGGTATTAGAATTTAACCAAAAAGAGAAGATGAAAGATTAAGGGATTGGCTACAACAAGGGGATGACTTAGATAAAGGCAAAAATAAGTAACCTAGGACAGAAGAATACAATATAAAAGAATAAACATTTATCATGTAGCAGGCAGCTATCTCCTACACTAAAGTTAAACCAAACAAGCATGTTTCCAGTGCTGCCCAGAGACAGCTATCATTAAATAGTAATTTAATTTTTAAGGCAAACTTTATCAATAATAAGTTGAACTACACACATTATCTAATTTTCTTACAACTACCTCAAAACTGCATGCAGAGATTTGAATCTAAACAAAGAATATACTTACTCTACCCTAACTGCTGCCAGTCAGAGGAAAGTAGTGCTCAAGAGTTCAGATGTGCAAAAAGAAAGGAGATAAGCAGCCTCTGGTTCAAAAGTAGTACCCCTGTCCCAGTACTACCGCCCCACTGACGACACCACAACTAGCCAATGAACAGGAAAGACCAGCCATTCCAGTCGGGAAGAGGGGACAGAAACTTGCATACAGATAGATAGTCTAGGAGTGAAGAGCAAAACCTTTGCAGAGCAGACACAGCACAGCCTGTTGTTTCTAAACATGCACAATGAATTCTGTCTCATACCAGGTATTTTTTGCAGTTAAAATCTACTTGCTACTCAGGTTGTAAACATTCTCTTTTTATCTAAAAATGAGGCTATGCATCTTGGTTATGCATAAAAATGAGGTTATGTATAGTCCTATGAATATCAACAGCATGAAACAACAAGGTGCATGATGCACTTTCATGCTCTGCTAAGCCTACTGCTTAAAACTAGTAGGACAGGTGTGAAGATCCAGTGACACTGTTGCCAACGAAAGTAACCCACCATGCTGGCAACTCAGCCAAAGAACCACTTCCTTTTTTCCCCTGAAGTAACATATTGTAATACTACTTTCAGCTAAAAAAAAAAAATTAATAATATACAGCATGAAGTTTTATATGGGCGCAAGTAAAATGAACAAGCATATGTTCAAATAAAATGTAACAAATTTTTAACATAGTGTGAGTAAAAATTAAGTTTCAGCCATTTGTTTTGAAAGTCAGTGTTATTTGTGCATCCCACAAGTGGTATCCTAGCAACTTTTATTTAGGGATGTAGCTTGAGAAGAACTTCTGGTGGCAATCCCAGTTTAGGAGGCTCAAATCTAGGAGTAGCAGCCTTTTTTTGCACTGACATAGAAAAATGTCATGTAGGCCCAGCAAGATCTTGCATTAAAAACTGAAATTCCAAGAGGCGACACTTCCTTTTATTTTGTCACTAATACAAGAGTCAAAAATCTGTTCTCAAAAGACTTAAAGCCATTATTCACAAGATAGGTATTTCTTCTGTGAGGATTATCACACACTTGGGTTTTTTGGTAACAATCTGTGAAATCCTTAAAAAATTCCAGAACATGGAGCATAATTTCCTTAGCAACCATTGTCTGCTATTGTAAAGAAGGATGAACTTATATGAAGTAAGAACATGATAGCAAAACCAAGCTGATCACTCCGTGCATCCAAGTGGAGAGGACATGAGGATAGAGTGAAGACAAGTCAATTTCTAGAGTACTGAGTCAGCAGAGAACAAGCATCAGCCTAGAGACCTTTATCCACCACAAACATAAGGCTCACCAAGAAGCTGGGCAACTCTTCCAGTAGGTCAGAGCCTGTGGAGTAGAGAAAATAAAAATGAGGAAGGCAAAACCAACAGTATTTCGTAGCTTGCCCTATCCTGACTCCAAGGCACATTCAGATTTCAAATACAGGTAGAACTGAGAAGAGGCTACTAACTCGGCTGCTGCCCCTTCCCTATTGCCATGGAAGGACAGGAGCCATTGACTCTTTCTAAAACTGATCCTGTGCACAGACTTGAGTGTGTTAAACTCAGCTCCTTGGTTGTGTTACTGAAGATAAGAAAATGTAAACTCTTTAAGCAAGCTCTTCCCAGGATTCAGTTTCATATCATAAGTGTGCAGCGTAAGTTACCTAAGTATTTTATCTCAACTAGGTGGACTCTCATAATAAGCCATTGCCTTCTTACCTCACCACTAACTAAAGCAATAAAAAGGTGCAATTAAAATAAGAGCTATGCAGTATAGTGCAAACAGTAAACGGTATGACTGGCAGCAGCTCACTGCTTCAGATAGTGTCTTTTATTTTTTAAATTAAGCCGCCTTAGTGCTCCTTGATTTAGAGACCTGGTGGAGTGTGTTTTGCTTTGGTGAGCCAAATACACCAAATCTTGAAAGCCAAATACACCAAACCTTGAAAACCTCTGTGAAAAGGTGCCTCAAAACAAAGCAGTTAAAAAAAAAAAACAAACTTTTAGTGTCTTAGTTTCAAAAACATCTGAGCTGAGGCTGGAGTAACAATGATAACAGGTGTATTTAAAATGTTGCACTGTACAGGATCTAAAGTGCTGCTGCCCTTCACTGAAAAGTACTTGCTGTCCAAACAGGTTCACACTCCGCTGTGAACATTTACACCTGTATTAATGCTGGACCCATTCATATACCTTGTTGCCATTGAAAAGGGATGTTGTGAGCCCATACACACTTTCCCTTTTCTTTTACTGGCTTCAGAGCAGACCTGAGCATAGTCAATTCACTGATATTTCATAAAACTAACTGGGGGGAGGGAATAAAATAAAATCCAAACCAGATCTCTGTAAACTGAACTGGATTGAAGTGCCATCAGCCAAGGTCTAGAGACAGTAACAGTGAATGGATGGGACACCTGAGCTGAGCAGAAGAATTTCAGGTCAAGACCTGCCTTTCAGACAGCAACAACCTACTGTATTACTGCACATTTACTTGCACACTACTGTATTACTATAACATCTAACCTCCGCCTATTTAAAAGCTGAAATACCTTAACTTTCCAACACTGGGATTCTGGAAACCTAACACAGGCGTTCAAGTCTCTTTATACAAAAGGCATGGTCATTCCCCAGAGCATCTTAACTCCTGCTTTCCTAGAGCTCAGGCTACAGAATAGCCCCGCAGAGACAGCACTTACCCCAGACTCAAAGAACCCAAGCTCAGCATCACCAAGAAGGTTCAAACACACACCCCCTCAGTCCCTGGAATAGAGTTCTTATCACTTTCTTTCTGAATTAATGCTATAACCAGCAGGCTAAGTCATATCCTTATGACTTTGCCTGCTGCGTGTCATGAGTGCACACAGATCTCGGTACACACAAGGTGAGTTCCAAGCTGGCCTTCTCGGTGAACCTCTGACAACTGCTGGACCCTGCTCAAGCTTGGAGAGGAACCAGAGGCTGAAATGCGCAAGCTGCAGGTTCATCAACTGGTCTTTCACACTGCCCTTTGATGGTGCAGCTTCCCATTGGTCCCACCAACTTCTCCACCTCCAGTCTTTCCTTCCCTCTCCCTCCCGTGTGTGCCAAGGGTGTTCAGTCACTTGGATTAGGTAGACAATAATGCTGGAAAGTTAACACTGCAACAGTAGCTAACCCAGTAAATATACATATATGTATGCACTTATAAAAGAAATCTTTTCTGCCAGCTTAGTGAGCTAAACTAACTCACTGGGGGGTGAAGTGATCACCAAAGAGAGTACAAAGGAAGAAGCAGACAGCCAGAGAGGGTGAAAAGAGCTTAGTTATGCTGCAGCAAACTGCTCATCAGACCAGCTGTCCTGTGCACTGCACCCTCAGATCATCTTGACTGAGCAAGAGACCATAACACAGCTGGTGGCAAATGATGCTTCACAATTTACCTTCTAATCAACTGCTCGTTCCCACCTCTTGCACCAGCTTGCTACAGGGTAAGCTGGATCAGAAAATGACATGAGGGCTGAGGAAGAGAAGAGATGCATGCCTCTCCATGTTTTTTTTTTTCTTATGTGTATCAGTTTCCAGGCAGAATTCACCATGCCAATTGTGCAGATAGCTCTGCTGGTGCCACGGAAGGTAAAAAAAAGCAAAGAAACAGCCATGGCACCTAAATTGGCAAAATGGACAAATCACAACCATGGAACTAGAAGTTTAGGCTAGAGCACCATTAGACTCATCCTGAAGGAAAACAACACAACCTTAGAGAATATATTTCCTCAGATTGCAATACCATCAAAAGTTGCTTAAGGAGAGACCTCCACAATCAGGTGGCATTTATGATATTTAATTATAGCTTTGGGTTTAAATAAGCTGCTTTTGCTTACGTGTTTTATTTCATGGCTCTCAGACAGCCATGTACTGTGGTGTATCACTTTAGGAAATAAAATCAAACAAGAAAAGTCATTATTATCTATGTTTCACTCCTGCAGAAATCGTAACATCAGGCTGAAGGCCTGAATCAGAGCTGAGAATAAAACATGTCTTTCACAGCCTGAACTGAGGCTCTGCGGGACAGGCACCTTGCCTCCTGCAAACAGCCAGATTGTGCATTTCCTAGGCAAAACATTACCTCAGCTTCAGCTGCTAAAAATAAATAGGGTCATAAACTTTTTACAGCCATCCCTTAAGTACTGATTTTTTTTTTGCTTCAAACTCCATGTAGGAAGCTGTCTTTCACTACTAATGCCTCAGCTGAAGTTACTAGGTGAGAATCAGAATGAATGGTGAGAGGGAAGAGAAATGCCCATTCTGTGTTCCTATTTCAGTTATACACACAACACAGTTAAGTGTTAAGTAAGTATTAATTTTACTGATTAATTTCAGGTATCTAATGGATCGACTAAAAAAAAAAAAAATTAAATAAAAATGGAAAAGGGCCAACTTTAAAGTCAGTAAGCCCCAAACTTCACAAACAGCAGGGAAAGAATCAAAGGGAGTCAAAGTCCAAAACAAAATAGGCTGAAAGTTTTATATTTACTTAAAAGCAAATATTTCATCACTTTTCCAAAATCAAACAGAGCAGAAAAAAAAAATGTAGGTATAAAAGCCACATGCTTTTTAAAATACTTTTTAAGTGCAGTACATTTAAAACGCTACACATCAGGCTCCCCAGAAGTAAATCTGAGGAGACAGGCAGTTAAAATATATATATATGAAGAAGCTGTTTGCAACTGTATCTTCACAGACTCCTTCAAAGCCACAGGTGCGGGTCAGAGCAGGACCCGGGCTAACCCACAGTCGCCAGGGGTTTCCGGCGAGGCCCGCTCCCAGAGACCGCCAGGACGGCGCCAGCCGGTCGGCCGCCATTTTACCGCGCGGGTAGCAGGCGCACATGGCCCCGCAGCCGCCTCGCCCCTCTTGCTCCGCCGCCAAGCCTGGCGGGAGGGCGGAACTTGTCTGCGGGCAGCGATACCGGCACCGAACGGCCCATAGAGCCCGCCCTTCTCCAGAGCGAAAGAAAAACTTACTTTCTTTGAGGGGGATTTTAAGGAGCGGGAGGGCATCCTCCGCCGCGCCGCCAACGAAAACTACAGTACCCAGGGCACACCGCGACATGGCGGCGGGTCGGGCCGGGGGCGTGGGCCTGCAAGCGGGACGGGAAGGAAGGAGGGGGGAAAGGAGGGGGGAAGGAAGGGAGGAAGGAAGGGGAGTGCGGGTATGTCCCAAGTTTGGAGACTCACTAATTGGCTTTTAATGTAAATTGTTCAAGTCTAGAAATATCTTCCGCTGGGGGTGGCTGCTGCCTGGGGAACGTGCTGAGCCAGGAATGTACTAGAGCCGGCCAAAACCCCATCTCAGTGTGTAGGTTATTGGTTTATTCCTTTTGAGGGTAGCTTTCTGCAAGCTGTACGTGATGGCTTATGAAGTTGGCTGGACTTGCCTGTGCAAAGATTCATTTTGTTTCCATGTCCTCACAGAGAGAATTCTCCTACTGCGTAGGAGCAATTCCTTAGTTTGTACCACATTTTACTGTCTACTTTATGAACCCAGAGAATATTGGACAATACTTAGTCCAGTTTAGCATTACAATTTTTGCAACAATACTGTTAATAAAACCAGATTTGATCCATAGTTTTCTCTCCCCCCCCCCCCCAGCTATAATGTGAAAATCTCACTGTTCTGTGTAAATTAGCTTATGAAATGAAGAATCAGTAAATCTTGTTTGCATATTTAATCACACCTTTGATTCATGCTTTAACAGGGAATGGCCACATGAATGAATGCTCTAAGTAGCACTGATGATAGCAGCAGAACTGCTATTAGTAAAGTTCTATAATTGTTATGTCTACCAATCAAACACTAAATGCACCCCAAGCAATCACTGGTCTTGACAAGATGAAAGTAAAATATTAATCTGAAAACTATGCAACACCTAACTGAATAAAAGTGATTAACTCAAGGGGGTTTTATACAGCCAACAGAGATGGGAATTGGATAGCAACAACAGTTTTTCTTGTGCAGGACTGTGGATCCTCATTTGTATGAGAGGTGACTTTTGTATTTATCACTCTGTGTCCATTTTTAAGGAGCCAGAGGAAAACACGCAGCATGTGCTAAAATCCTTCTCTGGCTTTTTTTTTTCTTTTTTTTTTGTACCTTCCATCATGATTTGCCTTGTGTAGATGGAGGCCTACACTGGTCACGGTATCAGTGTAGTAAAGTTACTGTGAATTAATTAACTGCAGATGAAAATGGTCCATTTCTGGATGGCAGGGAGGTTTGTGCTGTGGGCTCCCAGTGGCCACATCAGAGGTGTGGTCTGCAACTGGAACAGTTTTTCTGTCTGAAGCCCCTAACACAGGCTAAGTTACATTGGTCAAACCTGCTGTTTCTTTGAGTACAGTTTTGGGGCTTCTTATTTGGAAGGGGTGAATTACCATCCCATCCTGCCTTTGCAGCTTTGCATTAGGTCAAGGCCTACATAGAATACCACTAGTTGGTTCTAGGTAAAAGCATGCCTGGTTTAGACAAGGCTACTTGCATCAGGGGAATCTTAAGTATGTCTGAAACTGTTCAAGTGAAACATTTTCAGTCTTTAGCTCACTGAATAACAGAGATTATGTACAGTACTCTACTAGAAAGATCTAAAAGATTTTAATGTTGGCCTGGCACGCAAGATACAGGTTGTGAAAGGGCAACTTAAATGGAGCTGCTTTCTATTTTAAATGTAATAAATTATCTGTGACATAGACGTAAGCAAATTGATCCAAGTATGAGATCCATTATTTTTCCAAATTTAGTATTAACGCAGACCACCTCCCAGCAACATGCAGTAAAGAACAACACTGCTTTTAAAGGGGCTTGGAAGGGTCTTTAAGACACGTTGAATTCAAGACTGGCAGTGCAAGTGAAGACTCTAGCAGAAGCTAAATGCTTATACCTAGGTTTTGAGATATTTTAAATTTTCAGGTCAGCTAAGTTACTCCATCATGACACCAGAAGAAACAGTAGCCAGGTTGCTTGGGGCTTTGAGCAACCTGGTCTTGTGGAAGGTGTCCCTGCCTGTGCTGGGGGGTTGGAACTGGATGAACTTTAAGGTCCCTTTCAACCCAAACCATTCTCTGAGTCTGTGAAGAGTCTTCCAGCTGTAGGATTATTGGTTTAACGGGGCATGACAAAGTCATATTGGTACATATATGAATCAATATGTATATATTAATATCTATATATACACATCAATATATATATCAATATACCTATCGATATATCTTTATCTATGATTGAATGTTGGTTTTGGGGTAGCATGAACGGAGCCTCCAGGGTGGTTGTCCAGGGGACACACTGATTTTGGTGCATTCCAACAGAACACCTCGGAGAAAACACTGCTTTGCCAGTGGGTTGAGGCCGGGGTCGGCTTTCACTCTGGCGCCGTTTATTTTATTCGGGGCATTTCATCGGCGGCGTTTCCCTCTTCTCTTTCTTTGTTCCTTTAATTTTCCTCTCATCCCGCGGGGCGCCCAGCCCTGCAGACAGCCCCCGGAGCACATGTGCGTGTCACAGGCAGCCTGCTCTCCCGGCGGAGGGGGAGGGCGCCTTTCGCATGGATCCGCTCGCTAGCTGAGGGCAGCGCCGCGCCGGGCCGGGTCCTGTGATGCAGCAGTCGTGTGCGGGCAGGCCCCCCTTCTAGGCGCTGCCTGCGCTCTGCGCACGGGGTGGCGGAGGCGCGGGGCTTGGCCCCGCTCCATGGAGACCAATGGCATCGCTTCCACCCACCCCCACCGGCCCCGAGCCCGCCGGCACGCACAGCTACACGCTACAGCCCACCATGGCCCCACCGCCGCCGCCGCCGCTCCAGCCGTCGGCGAGGTGAGTGCGGGCCTCCGGGCTTCTCCGCGGAGGCCCAGACGGCTCCGGTAGAGCGCGGTGGAGGAAGCGGGGAGGAAGGGTGGGCGGGTGGCTGGGTGTGGGGAGGAACGGGGGACAGGGCGGCAGGAACCCGCGGTCACCGGCCACCATGGTGCCCTCCACACACTCCCCCTTCTTTTCCTCCCCTCCCCCGGGGCTCAGGCGCAGTTTTTCGGTGTACGGGGCGCGAGAGGGGCCGAGAACGGCGGAGGTGGAGGGGGGACAGGAATGGGTCTGTGTGTGTGGACGGAGCGGCAGTTAACGGTTTCATCTGGGGGGGGGTGTGGGGGGGGGGGCCCGCCGCGGCTTTACCGGAGGGGGGACGGGAGGTGGGGAGGGCGGCGGGCGATGGGGGGAGGGGGGGATGGTGAGTGTGTGTGCGGGGGGAGGGCGGGCGGCGGCCTCGCGCTAGAGCGGCCGCCCGGAGGCCCGGGTTGGCCCTCTCGGCTTGTGGGGTATCGGAGGCCTCGCGTCTCGGCAGGAAGGAAGGCGGAACGGCGGAGGGGGGGCAAGGGGAGGGGGAGTCGGCCCGGTGCTGTAGGGCTCTCATGGCGACTAATATCGAGGAGATCTTTCGGTCCTTTGTGGTTAACAAATTCCGGGAGATCCAGGAAGAGCAGCAGCAGCAGCACAGCGGGTAATGAGCCTGCCCGGGGTGGTGGGGGAGATCGCGCGGCCGCGGCCTCTCGCGCGGGGAGAGGAGGGGTGTACGGGCAGAGGGGAAGTGCGCGGGTCCCACCTCGGCGCTGATGGAAGGAAGAAACGAAGGAGGGAGGGAGGAAAGGAGGAAAGGAGAGGGGCTGGGGCCTCGGGCTGTTGCGAGTCATTTCGGCTTCAACATGGCGGGAGTCGGGGGGCCACTGCGGGCGGGTGGGTTGTCTCGTGGCGAACTCTCACCCGTTTTCTCTCACGGGTTTTCGGTATTGGTCTCTTGTGCTGGGGCAAGAGGGGAAGGGGCGAGCGTCTGTTAGGTTGCTGTTGCCGATTTCTCTACGTTTAAGCTCGCTTAGTTCTTCCCAGCCTTATCTGCAAAGGAAACAAAACCTACTGGAGAAGAGTGAGTGATTGATGCTTATTTTCTGAGGGGAGCCTATAAAAAGTTCCTGCGTAAAGGACGGGGGCTGTGGCACATTGAAAACCACGTTTTCCTCCCTTGTGCCTAATATTCAGTCGTCACAATGTGTTCTGTTGCAAGTGTATGAAAGCTAAACAAAAAATAGATTATTTGCTAAAAGTATGGCTTCTTCAGGAGGCTAAAATGACGTTTTGAAGGGCTGGGTATAATAACTGCTTATGAATAAAAAAGGTCCAAAAAAAGCTCAAAATTGCTTGTATTATGTTGATATTTTTTTTGGTTAGTGGAAAGGTAGAAGGCCAGCCCAATGGTGACACAATCCCAGCTGAGCAAGCCAACCCTTCAGATGACACTGTTGCTGGTGCTGGGAGTCGTCAGAATGATCAGATAGTGCAGAAAATAGAGGAAGTGCTCTCTGGAGCCCTTGATACAGAGCTGCAGTGCAAATCAGGTAAACGAAAACATATTTGGCAAACATGTTCTTGTTTAAGAAGGTTGTCATAGTTCTTAAAATGGAATAATTTTTACAGAGATTAAAAGTACTTTTCAGTACTACTCTCAGCAAGCTTCATCTGAGAAGTTGTGTGCTGATTTTAATGTTTAAGTTTTTTTTTAATCTACTCTAATTTACAACCATAGATGGACAGAGAAGTACATAATATAAAAACTTAAGCTGTTTATTTATATGAAAGCATTACTTAGTCTGCAAAAAGTTACTTTTTTCTCCGTTACAATAATGCTATAATGTATAAGTAATATCCATTTATATATATATAATTGTACTTTATTTTGTATATATCTACTTTAGGGCTTCAATGGGCAGTTCTTGCTAACAAAGCTGGTACTGACAAACGTGTTGTTTTGGATTGGTTCACAAGATTATTTCTAAAAATCATTTATTAGACTTCAGTACTGTAATTAACTGTTCTGTCAGAGTAAGATGCTGTGTTGTTTTAAAACAAATAATGCAATTATCTTTAAAATGTAGATACTCAAATTACATTCTTCTAAAGGTTAAGAATTTTTTTCGTCATAATCTCAAAACTTCAATAAATTACTGGATTTATTATGCCAAAAAGTTGAATACCAGTATCCCTTCTCATGAGACTAGTCATTTTTGGACATTTCTGGGAGAGTTAGGGAGTTGAAGGCTCTCATTATTGTGTTTTCAGTGTTTTTGAGTTGAATCATAGGTAACTGCTATGTGCTTGGTAAGTATAGTTCCAGAGGGACTTTTTTTTTTTCTAAGAGGCAGCATAGAAAATTTCAGAGGTTCTGTTTTGCAAGGTCTTAGAGTTGCTGTTTCTTTCTTTTGTGTACAGTGGTTTGTTTACCTTAATCATTTTCAACAGTCACTTATGTTGCACAAGCAGCACTTTTTGCTGGCATCTGGGGTCTTATTGTTCTTCTGTCATGGAAGAATGAGGCACGCTAACATGTTAATGAATGTAAGATCTATTAATCTGTAAGTTAATAAACTTCACCTATGGTAAACGTTCCCACTGTTCATATCTGGAAAGGAGCTATTGTTGCTGTTGTGCAACAGGTTATTTGAAAAGGCTGTGTAGAACAGGTCATTTGACTCTGCTTCATTGTCCTTCGTTACATTCACAGCAGTGATGGTGGAAACACTATTTTTTAAACTGTGTGTGCTCAAAACTACCTTAGATACCTCTATAGAAACGTAAGTTATGTTAATTGGATAGGACTGCAGTATTAGTATTTTTCAAGTTAGTTTGCACTGTTCACTTGAAAGAGTATGCTTTGAAATTACAGCAAGATTATAATTGAAGAATCCATCTTGCTTCACTGACCAGTATAATCACTGAATATGGAAGCAGGCTTAAATATATAGCTCGTAGTTAACAGGAAATTACAAGCTGCCTTTAATAAAGTAGCTTTCTCCTCAGAAGAGCACCTCTTCTATGAAGACAGGCTGAGGGAGTTAGGTCTGTTCAGCCTGGAGAAGAGAAGGCTTAGGTGGGACCTTATTGCAGCTTTCCAATATCTGAAGGGGGCCTCCAAGAAATCTGGAGTGCAACTTTTTACAAGGGCATGTAGTGACAGGACAAGGGATAATGGCTTTAAACTGAAAGAGGAGAGATTTAGATTAGATACTAGGAAAAAAATTCTTCACTGTGAGGGTGGTGAGGCACTGGAACAGGCTGCCCAGAGAAGCTGTGGCTGCCCCATCCCTGGAATTGTTCAAGGCCAGGTTGGACACAGCCTTGAACAACCTGGTCTAGTAGAATATGCCTCTGCCTGTGGAAGGGAGGGTTGGAACTTCTGACTTCTAAGTCCTTTCCAACCCAGATCATTCTATGAAGCCATGGTACTAGATCCAAAGAAGGGTAAGAACCTAACACAGGTTAAATTCAGAGGGAAATGAGGTATAGAATTAAAAGAAAGCGATTGAAACCTAAGTCTTCCTCCTTTTATTTATTTTTTTTTCTTTTTGCCTCAGTGGTTGTTTGTACCTGCAGTTACCTGAATTTCTCAGTTACTTTCCTGTTTGAAGCAAAAGCTCTGTTAGGTACTTTCAGGTTTGCCTGTGGCAACTCCAGTCTGAGCAGCTGGTTGCCTGCAGTGCCTTAAAGCTTCCATGGGATTGGGGAAGTAGATGCTGTTTCCCAAAATTTGTTTGAAACACTGTGTCAGTGAGCAACTTACATCAGTAAACACACTTCTATAACTTCTAACACACAAGTAATACTGATCATGCTCACAAGTTTCAGTATAGTAGGGAATAATGGGCTGGCCACATTTTATACAGTAAGCATACTACCACTTAGATAAGTTGTCTGAAAAATGGGAGTTATTTTTTTATGTGCAGCTTGGTGTAGTTTAAAAGCACATCCCCACCCTCCTGAAAGAATGAACTGCACAGTTGAATATAGGTGGAAGTATATCCAACTACTTATTGGGAGGAGTCATTTTCCCACTGGAACTGACCAAGAAGATTTCTTTTAACTTTTTGAAAGAAAAAGTAGTTATTTTTACTTCCAAGTGACACCAGAGAAGGGTTAGAGTGCTGAAAAGGGAGTGTGCAATTTTGTGTGGTAGTTTAGTGAAGAAGGCGTGGGTTTCAAGTTTAATTTTTCTGACTGTCCATGGCTTGGTCACTAGTCAAAGAATTTCTGAAATGCCATTTTAATAAAATTTACAAGGAAAATATCGTTTCTTCTAGATGTAGACAAAAATACTGTGAAAAATAGTTCTCAGCCTACAAAAAGAAGCTCTACTGCTGAAGATGAAATTCCTAGGAAAAAATCAAAGAAGAACAAGAAGCACAAAAGCAAGAAGAAGAAGAAAAAGAAGAAGAAAAGGAAGAAAGAGAAAAAGCATAAAAAGCAGCCAAAGGAGGCAAAGCTGAGTGCACGTCATGGAGACCGTGGGGACGCACAGCCTACTTCTCAGTTAATACCAGAGAAATCAAGCTCCAAACTGAGCGTACAGCATGGAGGATTTGAAGGTGCAAATCTGGCTGTCCATACGCAGCCAGAACTGTGCTTGCAAACAAGTGAGGAGCTTGACAGACAAGCTGTAGGGCTTGTTTCTCATTCAGGAACTGATTCTCAGCAATCTACAGAAAATCTTGGGAGTGAGAAGGGGACTTTGTTTGCAACAAATCCTCCATTTACTTTAGAAGGCAGTCAGTCTGATACCCAAGGAGATGCTAGTATAGCTCAAACTAGAATTTGCACTAGAGAAGAACAAATTAAACAGTCTCATGACAATATTTATCCTATAGCTATTAATGTGAGTGAAAAGGGTGTTCTTGTTGATACTGGAAGTAATACTTCATCTAGCATCCTGTATGAAGTCACCAATAAATCTGACATACAGAAAGATTCAACAGTAACTCTAGCTTCAGAGGTAGTTGAGGCACTAAAAGGTTCAGAAGTTACTCTGAAATCTAAAGGCACTGGGGAAGTAAAAGCTTTGGATACAGCTCTTGAGTCTGAGTCCATGGAGGTGTTGACATATTCAGAAGCATTTCTACAGTCTGTGGCACAGGGGGGAGCAAAAGAAATGGAAGCAACTTCGGAGTCTGTGTATTCAGCAAGTAATGTAACAACTAGTCCTAAATTTGCAAGTCAGGCAGATCTGAGTACTGTGAATGTAGGTCACATGTCTGTGGCCATGGAAGAAGTGAGAATTCAAGAAGCAACTGAAAAATCTCTGCCTATGGGAAATGTGGAAAGATCTTTGGAATTAGGAGGTCTGAGCAGAACTTTGGAGCCAGCCGTGAAACTCTCAGTTACATCTGATGACTTGAGAGTGATGCAGGCCAGTCCCATTGAGGGTTCAAGTGTTTTGAAGGCAGATGCGTCTTTGCAACATCCTTATAAAGTATCTGCAGCGGCTGCTGTGACCCAGATGGAAATAAAAAGTGTCAATATGGACCAGGGCTCAGGAGCTGTTACAGAAGTGAAGGGTACTGAACCAGCTAGAAGCTCTGGACATACGGAAAATGTGAAAACTTTGGAAGGAGCTTTGCAGCCAGTTGCTGTAGGAAAGCCCGAAAGTTTGGAAACAATCCTGAAACCTGTGGATGTTGCAGCAAAAGATGTCACAGCAGCTCAAGAACATCTGCAAGCTGAAGTAAAATATGTGGAAGGTACCACTGGTCCTGCAACAGTGTTGTATGCATCAGGAGTGTTCCTACAGCCTAATGTCTTGACAGACACAAGAAGTGTGGATAGAACCCAGGAATCTATCCTTCCAGCAGAATTGACACATGTGAATTTGGTTGCGGAGATAGAGGGTTTAAGATCAGCTTTAGAACCTATTGGCCAGACCTTTGCTCCCCAGACAGTTCCAGAAATCCAGATGGTGGAGTGTTTTAAAGGTCCACAAGCAACTGCAGAAGTTGCAGCACTAACAGGAGTAAAAATTCGAGAAACAAGTCAAGCTGCTCTGCAGCTGGAAAATACAGATGCTTCAAAAATTTCAGAATCTACTTTCAAGCCTGTTGCTGTAACAGCAAAAGATTCAGAAGATACTTCATTACTGAGACGAGAGGAACCGAGAGAATTAAGATATGAGGGTGAATCAAGTGTGAGAGGTCCCCTGTCTTTGCAGAATGAAGGTATGAGTGGCCTAGGAGGAGTCCTAAGACCAGTGGCTGTGGTGGAAGCAGAAACTTTGAAAACAATTTCACCATCTTTGCAAATGGAAGGTGTAAAGGCTTCCGAAGTTGTGCACTGTGGGACTGTGGCCAGAGGTTTAGCAGCAACAGTGGGTTCAACAGTGGTGTCAAAAGCTTCAGAGATAAATTTTGAGGGTATGGCAGTAGAGGCAGGCTCAGATGCCAGTCTGGCTATGAAAGTAGAAGCAAGTCCAGGGCTTCCTGCCTTGGAAGAAACGTCGGAAAGGCCTCCTGAATCTGTGGCTGCATGTGTAAGCATGGAAGCGGTTAGGGAGTCTAACGCATTAGCAGGAATGATGCATTTGAAAACCACAGCAGATGGAGAACCAAAACATACAGAAGCAGTTGCAGAACCTCTTGGTGCAAACAGAACAGAGAGTTACATTTCACAGTCTCAGGTCATGGCACATACAAGAATGCCACAACCTGATACAGTAGGGGACATAAAGGATTCTGAACTAGCTACCAGTTCTGCCACCGTAGAAGTGAGGGATTTAGACAACTTGAAAGTTGAGGCAGTTGCAGAGGTAAGAGATGTGGAAGTGAGATCAAAAACTTCACACTTAACACAGATGAAAAATTTGGAAATGGTTGTGGGATTTGAAACAAGGGCCCTAATGGAAGGCATGGGAAGAGCATTGGCATCTGAGGTGGTTAGGAAAATGAGATATTCTGAAGTTGCTCCAGAAGATTCAAACAAAGCAAAGGCAAGGAGTGAAGAAGCAGTATTAGAACCCCAGCAAACTGTGATGGTGCAGACTTTAGAAACAAGTTCAAAATCTATACAGGAACAAATAGTAGGTCATTCAGAAGCAGTATTAGAGCATTTGCCCAGAGTGGAAGAAAAGACTATGGCATCAGAAATGGTGACAGAAGTAAGCAACTTGAGAGGAACTTTGGAATCTAAGATTTCAACAGATGTGAGAACTCAGGGACCTACTGTAGAATATATAATTGCAACAAGGAAGACAAGCACACAAAAAAATGAGCCCTCGCTTAGCGATGTCAAATATTTGGAAGAAGCTTCAGAAATGGAGAAATCAGTGAATGCAGAATACTTGGAGCCAGCATCAGAAGCTGGAGAACTGAGGTTGGAAAGTATGAAAGAGTCTGCAACAGTAGAGGTGAAAGGTTCTGAAACAGTCGAAGTGCCTGAGGTACACATGGATATCCAAGGAAATCTGGGGGCGATGAATGTTTTAGAGCATGTTTCAGAAGCTGTTCCAGAATCTTTACATATTGAAAAGGAAGAAAATCTGCAAACCATTCCAGAAGCAAAAGCTGCTGTAGAATGGAAGAGTACAGAAGAAGCTCCAGAAATCCTGACTGCTGCTGAAGTGAAATCTTCTGAAGCAGGTCTAAAACTAGGGGACATGAAACATTTGGAAGCATCACTGGAACATGAAGTGGCAGCAGAAGTACGATATGCAGAAGTGCAGTGTCAGCAGGTGGAGGATGTGAGAGCTCCAGGTCAAGCTCAGGAATGTGAGATTCTAGTTGAGAAGAAAGATACAGAGCAAAGTCAAACATCTGAGCCTTTTACAGCAGAAACAGCTTTCAGCTCTTCACATGCTGCAGATGAAAAAGAGACTCCTGAATCTGAAATAATCGGAGACGTGAAACAGTTGGAAGCAGCTCCAGCTGATGTGGCAGAAACAAAAGGTTTGGAAACCGTTTCTCTTCCCGACACTGTTGTAGAGCTGAAAGATGCAGAAGCAGCTGTGGGGTTGGAGGGAGAGACACAAGATTTGGAAGCAGCTTCAGTACCTGAGACTGTTGAAGAAGCAGAGCCAGTACCTGTGGCAGAGGCAGGCCAGGTGGAAGTCATTCCACAGGCTGAGGCTGTCAAAGAAGCAACTCCAGAACAGGATTCAGAGAAAAGAGATTCAGAAACATCCGATGTACAACCTGATGTGGCGGCACGAATGAAAGAGACTCTGATGAGACTCGAGAAAGTTGTTGAAAAAAGTAGCCATAGAAGCAGTGATAAAAAACATGATGCAAAGAAACAAAAAAGGAGTCGCTCCAAATCTCACTCCAGGTCTAGGAAGCGGAAGAAAAAATCAAGGTCACGTTCCACTTCTAGACGTTTGACCTCTAAAAGAGCACGTTCTAGGAGCAGAAACTATTCAGATTCCAGAAAAAAGCATTCCAAATCTAGATCCCGATCTGTGGAGAAGAGAGAGAGAAGAGTGTCTTCCCGGAGGTCTAGGCGCAGACGTTCCAGGTCATCTGACCACTACAGGTCTAAATCGAGATCAGCAGAGAAGAGAGGGAGCAGATTGTCCAGACGCAGACGTTCCAGGTCATCTGACCGCTACAGGTCTAAATCCAGATCAGTGGAAAAGAGACTGTCCTCCCGAAGGTCCAGACGCAGGCGTTCCAGGTCGTCTGACCGCTACAGGTCTAAGTCCAGGTCAGTGGAAAAGAGACTGTCTTCTCGAAGGTCTGGGCGGAGACGTTCCAGGTCTTCTGACCGCTACAGGTCTAAGTCCAGGTCAGTGGAAAAGAGACTGTCCTCCCGAAGATCTGGGCGCAGACGTTCCAGGTCATCTGACCGTTACAGGTCTAAGTCCAGGTCAGTGGAAAAGAGACTGTCCTCCCGAAGGTCTGGGCGCAGACGTTCCAGGTCGTCTGACCGTTACAGGTCTAAGTCCAGGTCAGTGGAAAAGAGACTGTCCTCCCGAAGGTCTGGGCGTAGACGTTCCAGGTCTTCTGACCGCTACAGGTCTAAGTCCAGGTCAGTGGAAAAGAGGGGGAGCAGGTTGTCCTCTTGGAGATCCCGCCGCAGACGTTCCGGGTCTTCTGACCGTTCTAAATCTAGATCCAGATCTTCAGAAAAGAGAGGAGGCAAAGAATACTCATGGAGATTCAGACATAGAGGATCTGGTTCCTCTGATCGTTCAAAATCTAGGTCAAGATCTGTTGAGAAGAGAGGTCGGAAGGCATCTCTGCGGAGATCTAAACGTCAGCGGTCAAAGTCCTCTGACCGTTACAAGTCTCGGTCCAGATCAGTAGAAAAAAGAGATCGAAAGCAGTCTTCACGGAAGTCTAAACGTCAGCGCTCAAAGTCTTCTGACCGTTACAAATCTAGATCTAAATCAGTGGAAAAAAAGAAAGAGTCTTCACGGAAGTCTAAGCGTCGCCGCTCAAAATCATCTGAACGTTACAAGTCTCGGTCTAGGTCTGTCGAAAAAAAGCGCAAGGAATCTTCAAAAAAATCCAAACGGAAACGTTCCAAGTCATCTGATAGTGTTAAGTCAAGGTCAAAATCTGTAGAAAAAAGAGGGAGTAAATTATCCTCAGTGAAGTGTAGCAGCAAAGGTGTGGAATCTTCTGAATGTCAGGATTCAACCCAGTGTCTTGAAGAAGGAGAAATAGTTGAACAGTCTTCTGCAAGTGAAGACAGTCCCCGCAAATCCTCTAATGGTCCCATGTCAGTAGCTTTGTCTGATGAAAGGGTAAATGGCCCAGAGCTGCCTCCAGCATTTGATAGTGGGTTTTCCAAAACTTCTGACAGTCTTGAGAGCAGTTCCTCGTCTGTTAAAGAAATAGCAGGTCTACAGCCTTCTGTGGTGTCCGAATTTGATAGCTCCAGAATCTCAGATGACCAGGAAAGATCACAGGTTTCAGAGCTTTCTGTGACATCTGGAAATGGATCAGCCGAAAAAGCAGTGGCTCTGGAGTCCTCACTACCTGAACTTACATGCTCCACATCCAAGTCAAGATCCTCATCTGTTGAAAAAAGAGATCCAGAAACTTCTTCGTTAACAGAATTTCAGCTCTCTGCATCCCATGAGGATGAGTCGAGATCTACTTCTGTCAAAGAAATAGAGGGTCCAGAGTCTCTTCTGACACTTGAAAGTGGATGCTCTGTGTCTTCAGATGATTACAAGACAACCTCCTTAGCCTCCAGAAGAACAGAGGTTCAGGAATCTTTGATGTCTGAAAGTGTACTCTCTGGCTTGCCTGATGCTCATGAATTGAGACATACCCCAGTTGAAAAAACAGAGACTCAGAACTTTTTACAAGTACCTGAAAGTGAATCTTCTGAAGCAGCAGAGGCTCAAAATTCTTTTCTAGCACCTGAAGTTCCATGCTCTGCATTCCCTGATGACTGTGAGTCAGCCTCCTTGCCTGCTGAAAAGGGCCAGATGCAGGAGCCTTCTTTGGCTTCTGACAGTGGATGCTTCAGATCTCCTGATGCTCATGAACCCGGATCTAGCTTTAATGCACAAACAGAGGAGCTTCTGTTGATGTCTGAAAGTGGGTCCTTCAGGTCACCTGATGGAAATGAACAAAGGTCTTTTTCTGTTGAAAAAGTCAAGGCTCCAGATGTTTCCTTGCAAGCGGAATGCGGCCGTGTTGAGATCTTGGATGACCTCGTTTCATCATCGTCATTTGGAAGAGTACAGGAAGCTGGACTGACAACTGTAGGGCAAAGCTGCAAGTCTTCTGGAGTTCATGAGTCCAGATCATCTGTTGACAAAGATGGTCTAACACTTCCACAAGTACTCGAAATTGAGTGCTCTGAACCTTCTGAAATGCATGAATCGAGATACCTGCCTGCTGGAAAAATAGAGGGTGCAGGATCTGTATTGATGTCTAGAAGTGGAATTCCTGTGTGCCATGATGGCCATAAAACAAAACACAATTACTTTGAGAAAACAGAAGGTGCAGAACTGTTGTTGGCATCTGAACTTAGGTGTTCTGTCTTCCCTGAAAGCTATGAATTGACATCCACTGCAGTTGAAAAAATGGAGATGCAGAGGCTGGAAAGTGGATTCTCCAAGTCTGGTGATGTTTGTGAAGCATTAAGCACACCTATGGAAAAACTACAGGCCCCAGTGACTTCGCTGACATCTGAAGGTGGGCTTTTCCCGTTGCCAGATAGTCATGAACTGAGACCTGTCCCTGCTGAAGAAGTGGAGGTGCTAAAGTCATCTGAACTGAAATGTGTTGCATCCCCAGATGACCACAAGTTGAGATCTGTCTATCATGAAGAAATACAGGTGCAGGAGCCACCTCTGATAGTGGAAGGTAGATGTTCAGTTTTGTCTGATGGTGATGAGTTGACGTCCACCTCTTTTGAAAAAGTTGAGGTAGAGGAGCCTTCTCAGTTGTCTGCAAATGAATACACAATTGGGCTTGATGGCCCAGAGTTGACATCAACCCCTGCTGAAAAAACAGAACTGCGGGAACTTTATCGGATGTCTAAAGAAAGATGCTCTGTGTCTGCTGAGAGTGAGGAGTTGCGGACACCCCTAATTGAAAAGATAGAAGTGCAAAAGCCTGCTCTGACATCTGAAAATGAATATGCTGTGTCTTGGGAAGGCCAGATGGCATCTAGCTCTCCTGAAAAGGTAGAGATACAGGAGGCTTCTGTAGTACCTGACAGTGAACATGCTGTGTCTTCTGAAGAACACGAATTGTCTTCCCTTGCTGAAAAAACAGAGATACAGGAGTGTTCTTTGCTGTCTGAAAATGAATATGTTGCATCACCTCACAGCCAGGAGGTGGCAGCCAGCCCTGCTGAGAAAGAGGTGCAGGAGCCTTCTCTGACATCTGACAGTGGATATACTGTCTTCCCTGAAGGCCAAGGATTACAGTTTACCCTTGCTGAAAAAATAGTGGTACAGGGACCTTCACTAATATTGGACAGTCAATATGTTGCATCCTCCGAGGGTCAGGAGTTGCACTCTGCTGTCACTGAAAAAACAGAGGGACAGGAGTGTTCTTTGCTGTCTGAAAATGAGTATGATGTATCCCCTCAACGCTGTGATTTAAGGTCCAGTCCTGTTGAAAAAGAAGAAATGGAGGAGCCTTCTGAAACATCTGAAAGTGAAAGTTCAATGTCCACTGATAGCCAAGAGCTGCAGTCTGCTGCTGTTGGAAAAACAGAGGTGCAGGAGTTGTCTTTGTCTGAAGGTGAATGCGCCATGTCCCCTGGAGGTCAGGAGATGCGGTCCAGCCCTGCTGAAAAAGTAGAGGCAAAGGAACCTTCTCTGACATCTGAAAATGTTCTGTCCCCTCAAGAATGTGAATCAAGGTTGACTCGTGCTGAGAAAACAGAGGATATGAATTCTTCTTTGACATCTGAAAACGACAATCTTTTGTCTTTTGAGGGCCAGGATGTAAGATTCACAGCTGTTCAGAAAACAGATTTGCAGGAGCTTTCTTCAACTCCTGAAAATGAACATGCAGCATCTCCTTATGGCCAGGAGTTGAGATTCTCTGCTATTGGAAAAGAAGGTGGTTTCGAAGTTTCAACGCTAAATGATAGCATCTCCATGTCCCCTGATGATTTGAAAGCCATCCCTGCCGAAAAAATGGACGATGCAATGCCATCTTTAATTCCTGAAAGTGCATCTTCCATGTCCCCTGATGGCTACAGTGTAAAATCGGGTCCTGGTGAAGAAACAGGAGATCTAGAGCCCTCTTTGATACCTGAACGTAGACATTCTACATCCTCATATCAGGAGAGCCATGAGCTGAAATCTCCCATGGAGGAAGAAGGTCTAGAGTCCTCTTTGACTCCTGAACATAGACGATCTGTGTCCCCTGAGGGCCATGACCGAAAATCTATCGTAGATGAAGAAATGGATGATCGGGAGCCCTCTTTGACATCTGAACATAGGCGCTCCACATCCCCCGATGACCATGAGTCAAGATCTAGCATTGGTGAAGAAGCAGAGTATCTGGAGCAGCCTTTGACAACAGAACGTAGGTGCTCTGTGTCTTCTGATGAGCATGAGTCAAGGTCTACCGCTGGGGAAGAGGTAGAGGATGTAGAACCCTCCCTTACAGCTGAACGAAGAGACTCCACATCTTCTGATGAGCGTGAGTCGAGGTCTACTGCTGGTGAAGATGCAGAAGATGGGGAGCCCTCTTTGACAGCTGAACGTAGGCACTCCACATCCTCTGATGACCGTGAATCAAGGTCTACAACTGGTGAAGAAACAGAGGATTTAGAACCTTCTTTGACAGCTGAACACAGACGCTCCGTGTCTCCTGATGGCCGTGAATCAAGGTCAACCACTGGTGAAGAAGCAGAGGACCGGGAGTGCTCTCCAACAGCTCAACGTAGACACTCCACATCCTCAGATGAATCTGAGTCAAGGTCTACCGCTGGTGAAGATGTGGATGATGTAGAGCCCTCCTTGACAGCTGAACGAAGAGATTCCACATCATCAGATGATCATGAGTCAAGGTCTACCACCGGTGAAGAAGCAGAGGATGCGGAACCCTCTTTGACAACTGAGCACAGACGTTCCACATCCCCTGATGGACGTGAATCGAGGTCTACCACAGGTGAAGAAGTGGATGATGTGGAGCCTTCTTTGGCAGCTGAACGAAGAGACTCCACGTCGTCAGATGAGCATGAGTCAAGGTCTACCACTGGGGAAGAGGGTGAGGATGGAGAGCCCTCTTTGGCAGATGAAGATAAACAAGATTCCATGCCTCTTGAGAGGTCGGAGGAACAGGACTCTTCCTTTGTACCTGAAAGTAGGCGTTCTGAGTCTTCTGAACGTGAGAAATCCAGATCCAGATCTGTTGATAAAATGTCTGACAAAGAGTCTTCACAGAGATCCATAAGCAGGCACTCAAAGTCTCCTGCTCACCAAAAGAGTCGATCTGCATCTGTTGAAAAAGTGGCAGACAGAGAATCTTCACGGAGATCTAGACGTAGGCGCTCCAGGTCTACTGCTCACCCGAAGAGTAGATCCACATCTGTTGAAAAAACAACAGACAAAGAATCTTCACGGAGGTCTAGACGTAGGCGCTCCAGGTCCACTGCTCGCCAAAGGAGTCAGTCAACATCGGTGGAAAAAGTGGCAGACAAAGAATCTTCACGGAGATCTAGACGCAGGCGCTCCAGGTCCACCGCTCGCCAAAGGAGTCGATCCAAATCTGGTGAAAAAACAGCAGACAAAGAATCTTCACGGAGATCTAGAAGCAGACGCTCCAGGTCTTCTCAGCGCAGATCCCAGAGATACGATACAGAATCTCGTTCTAGACGGAATCGCTCCAGATCAGTAACACGGAGAAGAGCATCAAGATCAAAATCTAATCGTCGGTCTCGGTCTAGTTCGTTGTCGCGTTCAAGGCATAGAAGGAGGAGTAGGTCAAGGTCAGCATCAAGGCGGCGGCGTTCTTTATCAAGAGACAGGCGTAAGAGATCACAGAGAAACAGATCAAGATCTACTGATAGAAGAAGAAGAAGATCAGATTCAAGAGATCGTAGAATATCACTCAGACTACGGAGCAGGAGTCGAACACCTATTCGTCAAAGGCGATCAAGGTCAAGAGGAAGAAGACGGAGCTCTAGTAGGTCACCAATTCGGCTGCGGCGATCAAGATCTTCAGGGAGAAGAAGATACAGCAGATCACCTGACCGTCGTAGATCAAGGTCATCGGAATTTTCAAACAGGTCACCTAAACGTCTTACAGACTTGGGTAAGTGATAAGTTTATTTTCAGTATTTCCATGTTTGGGTGGTACTGTGCTCATTCACATAGTATTCCTTAATTTAGTATATTTCTCTAGCATTCATAAAGAATTTCTTGGAAGTCAGTTCGAGCATTGTTTTCAGGCAGTGATTTCCTGTAGGAACTTCTGTGTTGAAGCTGAATCAATGCTTGCTGTTTGGATGAAACTGTATTTAGAGCAAGTTATATCTTGGTTTTAGAACTTTTATACAAAAGTAGTTTGTTACAGTCTTGGGGAACATTGCTCACTCTAATAGTCAGTAAAGGCCACATACTCTGTAAGAAACGTAGGGATTTCTAGTTTTACTGAGAACAAAATGGGCATGAAAGAACACTTGAAAGTAAGTGACAAGTGGAGAGTTCTTAGATGTGTTGTCAGCTGTAATGATTGTTTATTTGTTTGCGTTACCCTCTCTGTATTGCCTCTTTCCCATGGTAAAAACTTAATGACCAGAGAAAGAGAGGCCTTGGGGTTTCCTTAGGTAGTAAGTTACACAAGGAGAGTGCAGGTTTTAATTTTGAGAGATGAACTCTTGTACAGTGTGTGAGGAAGCTTCTTTTTTTGCGGACCTCGGGTTCTGATCCTTTTAGTCCTGTCTCATAAAGTTCCTATGAAAGCCCCTCTACCAGAGAAGCATTTCTGTACAAAACATGACAATTAATAAGAGTCCTTGAATCTGCCTTCATGCTTTTATTATGCAGCAAGTCTGTGTTTATATACTTCTGTTGCTTAAGAAGCAAAGGAATATTGCCCTTTTAGGATTTTCTTAAAGCTGAATGCTTGCAAGAGATAGTGGTAATTCAATTTATTTGCAAACTGGCAGATCAAGCAAGACATACTTCATTTTCATCCTGTATTTCTGTGGTACATCCACATGTACTTTTTTTTCCTTAATAAAGCAAAATACTGTTTTATTAACAGTTTTGCATGTAATTTTGTTTTATGCAAGTGCCCATCTTACTCAGTGCTTTTATTTTTCTGTTGGTTGATAGTAAGTAGCTTTCAGGTTACTTACATGGAGACTTGCAGGGATTTCCTCAAGACCTTTGAATGCTTTTCAGAGATAGCTAGGAAGTAGACTCATTATTTCCAAAATGAGAGTGAGTTGGTGAAGTCAAACAGGCATCAGAACTTGTGGGGTTTGGAGGATTTTGACTGTTGTAGTTTGGACTCCCATGCTTTGAGTTAAATTTGCAATTTCACTTGTCTGTTGTGTAGACCAAATTAAGTATGGAGTAACTAAGTACAATTTTAACTGTTTTAGATATTTGCATAGAACAAAAAAATGAAGTGTGTGTAGAATCTTTTGTCTTTGTACTTTATTTAGTCTGCAATAAATGCCTAGTTATTATTAATACAATCTATAAAAATAATAATTCCTCTTTAAAAAAATCATTTTAGACAAGGCCCAGCTACTCGAAATAGCCAAAGCTAATGCAGCTGCCATGTGTGCTAAGTCTGGTGTTCCCTTACCACCAAGCCTGATGCCTTTGTTATCTCAAAAGAAAGACGACAAAGCCAACCAGAAGTCATCAAGAGATACGCTAAAGGAGCTTACTGAGGTAAGTAAGAGCAACAGTAGCACACCTGAAAATAAGCAGATTTGGTTTTTTGTGACTAGGCAACCTGTCATTTTGTGTGTTTGGTTTGTGTGGGAAATGGCCTGTGGTTTGAGACCTTTTTGTCTACACTTCGGTTGTTGTTTTAAGTCATGAAAACAGGCTTTTTAATTCCATGGAAATGCATGAAGTCCAATTTTTTATTTTTATTTTTTTTTTACCTTCTTTCGTGGCTTTGATTTTGTTCTAATTTTGCACAAATTAGTAGTTCTCTTTGCAGTCTTGTTAATAAACTCCAAAGCTTTCACTTCTGGTTTCTGGTTCTGGTGATGTTAGTTATTTATGTTCCTACTTTTGTCAGTTAGCTTCACATTGTTCAGGTTAACTTGGGCTTAAATATCTGGTGCCCACTTCATATAGTTCTGTGTATATTAAAGTGCACTCTGAGATACTTACTGTTGCATTTCTATCCTGTTGCAGTTTAAGTCTGCAAATGGGATGGTTTTGTCTGATTGTGGGGAAAAAAAAATGCTACTTTTACTGTAGTAGGGTCACCTTGTTCAATTTGCTAATTTCCTCAATTTCCCGTTATGTTTTCCCCCAGAAACTACAGAAAAATTTGAATGGGGGGAGGAGGAAAAGTGCCTGCTTTTAATTTTGTTTGTTTGTTTGGTTTTTATAATTGCATCATCAGCGTGACAGTTCTGAAATAATCTGTTTATGGAAATACACCTGAAATTTAGCAGTGTCATATCACTGAAAAGTAATCTCTTAGTTGTGTGGGGGTTAGTAGAAGTCAAAGTACGTGTTAATGAAAAACCAGATTGTGCAGATAACAGTGTGCAGACCTTCGGTAGTTCTTGATGTAACCTGAGCAAGACCCAGAGTAGCTAGTACCAATCTGGAAGCCAAAATCCTGCTCCTTCCTTGTTCTTTCCAGCTGTTTAGAATGTGTTCTGTTGAATCAAAATAGGCCACAGAAGCAGTCCAGGTCGTTGTCATATGGTAATGTGTCCAAGCAAAGGATCCTGACAGAGCCTGCTCACTTTCTTCTAAAGCTGGCAGTGTTGTCTTTCTTTCCTCTCTGCAATATAACCTGCAAACAGGACAAACTGCTTCCAATTAGTTGGGAGCTAACTAATAACTCTAAATAATATATATTGATTAGCTTTCCAAGTAGTGTAGGCTTTTCCTGTTGCCTAAAGAATGGGCTTCAGTCATTGTTTGTAGGCATCTTAGTACAGGAGAGTGCAGAAATCTGTTTTTATAAGGACTGATGAGAGCAGTGCCTTCAATGTGTCTTGATTTTTAGTGATGTAGCTGCTGTTTTGCTTCTTATATGCCAACAATGAGGTCCTCAAAACAGACGTGACTTACAGTGAATGGTCTGAACTTAAACTAGAATCCAGCCAAATGATGGCTGCATTTTGCCAGTATTATTTCCTCAAATATTATGTCCTCAAATGCCTTGTAAGTCTTGTAAATATGCTTCTAATGAATGGAGACATAATAAATGCATTATACTAGACTATAATATTTTCTACTGCATTTTTGAGTTAAGTTATAGTTGCTGCTGATAAACACTTGGTGCAGATAACTAATCAATAAAGAATTTTTCATCATAAAATTCTAGCCTCTTTAGAATGTCATTTTGTTGGGTTTTTTCCTTCACCTGGAGGCACTCTTCTGATTTGACTGCAGTATCCCCATAGTACCTACATGTTTTATGTTTAACTCCTGTTGAATATAAGATGGTGATGTCAGGCATAAGTGGCCAACATAAAAATATCTCAGAAGAAATCTGAGGTTTTCTGGAGCCAGTGCTTCTGACTGGGTCTCTGTGCTACCTGTACAATTTAGAATTACTGTTAATTCTTAATTTTTCCTGTGTTGTAATTTTGGAAGTTATGCAGAAGCTTCTGTCAGATTGCCACATGCTGGTTACATGGGATGCGAAACAAACAGTGAGCACCTACTCTGGAATGTCTGCAACCTTAGGCACGCATCCTGTAACTACCATTGTGTGGCAGGTTTTACAGTATGCTGCTGAAATACAATGTCTGAAATTACTCACTGCATGAGTGCCTAGCAAACCTAGGTAGGTGTTTGATAATGTGTGTCAAATGTCAGGTACATATATTGATTACATTGCTAAAATTTCATCAAAAAATTTTCTCATTTTATACCTCCTTTAGAAAATATGTTGGGGTTTTTATTTATGTTTTGGCTGAAAGTCCAGGTTTATTCAAAGCTGTCATGTTTCCCCCCCACCCCTTCTCTTTTTAAGAAATGCAAGAAGATTGCCCAGAGCACAGATGATGTGATAGTGAACAAACCTCATGTTTCTGATGAAGAGGAGGAAGAGCGTCCTTTCTATAATCATCCTTTTAAGCTCAGTGAACCCAAACCTATATTTTTCAATTTAAGTGTAAGTACTTCTTTAATTTTCAATTTTTTGAATTGCAGTTATTTTTAAATAATGAAAGTAATTTTGTAAGAAATTAAAGAGGGATCAGTAATTTTGATGAAATTGCGCTGGATGTTGTCAAAAGTACTCTCGCTACAATAAGGAACTTACATATAGTCTATGAAATTGTCGTAAGTCTCAGAACTGGATTGGAAATGGTTTTGCCATTAGTGCCTTTGCAGCTTTTAGATTAAATGACATTAAAAGGGTCAGTTTACTTCGTGTTTTCATGCAGAAATACTAGTATGAATTTGCAAACAGTACTGGAATTGGAAAGCACTTTTGGATAGGCACTGCTTTTCTTTAAAAGACAAAAATAAAACAACCCATCAAAATTCTAGAAGCATTTTAAGGTGTTCTAAATAAGATGATGCCATCAGCTTTGCACAAACTCCAGATCTTGTCTGCTTCTTCAGTAGATCTCAACTGTTCACTAAAGGAGAGAAGAGTTCTGTTAGTCTTGAGATTAGCAAAGGCTGTTTAAAGAATGAGGATCACTGATGCTGCCTGTAGCTGAGAGGGTCTAAATGGTCTATTAACCCCCCCTCCTTGGGGGTCTGCCTTTGACTGTGTCATAGCTTGTGTTGATGCTTTCTGGGTATGAGCATGTTGGAAGGAATAAAATCATAGAGTGTTTCTTTAACTGCATCTGTGATTCATACACTTTGAAGCATGGATCAGAACTTTTCTAGGTTTGGGTTGTTTTGTTTTTTTTTCCCTTGTATTTTCAGGTTTGTTTTTTCTTTTTGTGCGTGTGAAAGTTGCTCTGATTATGCAGGGTATAGAGTACTATAAAAGTGTTAATATGCTAAGTGAAAATATAAATAGCATGTATATTTTTATGTACAAATATATATAACTTGTGGCATACACAAAATAAGCAGTAATACATGTTTGTGTATGCTGTAAGGTAGAAATAGATTTATACTTTATATTGTACTATGAGAAAGTGGTACAATGTGAAGTATATTCTGAAGTTCAGTAAACCTCGGGATTCTTACAGGCTCCAAAGAGGAATGTTCTTTAGTGGTTAGGGCTGCTCTGCCTGTTTTCCAAGTCCTGACATTTAGTGTTATTCTTCCCATTCTTTCTGGATTCTATTCTTACTACCATTCCTGTCCATCTTCCTTTGATAGTAGAAGTTTACCCAATATTTTCAGCTGTCTGGGCTCTGTTTGCTTCTTAGAAGAGGAACCTGTCAGAGATTTCTGAGAACTCCTTAGCAGTACTCTCTAAGGAAGACCAGCTCATAGACTTAATCTACTTTAAAATTCATGCTGCTATTAAAAAATAATCAAAACCTAGAAAAGAAAACATCGAAACTACTTTCTCTATGTATAGTAATGTAGAGCTTTTTACCATCATGTAAATATCACAGCTGATGTGTTTTGCTGCCCAGGAATTTCATTTTTGAGCTTTCCATACAAAATACATGTGTGGCAGATGAAGATTGTTCTCTTTATGATGGTGTCTGGGTGGAGGGAAAGCAGGAAGGTTAATTGTGAGAGTCAGGTTTTGTGTACTTTTTTGGCTGCTGAAGCTGACTGAAGTGATTTTAGCTTCAAAAAAATCTGTTTGTTGCTCACTTGTGTGTTTTTAGGGCTGTGCTAAAATGATTTGTTATAAAGGCTTTTGGTTTAATTATGGCAAGAAGGATGACTGTTTTGTGAAAGCTTGGCACCAAGTATAAGCAGTAAATAGTTTCTCAAAGACGCGTTGTGAGCATTGTGTGTTTTCAAGTTTTAACTTCTTCTAATTTTATTTCTTCAAGACTCCCAGCATAAAACCAGCACCACCTCCACAACCAAAAAATCAAGTCAGCCTGTCAAAGGAATTCCCTGTTTCATCTGGGTCTCAGCATAGGAAAAAGGAAGCAGATAGTGTCTATGGAGAATGGGTTCCAGTTGAAAAAGGCAAAGAAGACAGCAAGGATGATGTTTTCCCCAAACCATCCATTGAGGTAAGGAAGGGAAGGAAAGCTTATCATATAAGAAAACCCAAGCCATTACCTGCTCAATCTGGTGTCAAATCACAGTCTGTGAAGAAAAAACACGTACATAGGTAGTATTTAACACTTGCATAAGCTACTCATCTGAACTTCTGCAGTGTTACATTTGGTGGCTATGCTTGTGTAGGCAGTGACGAAAGTAGCCTGTACCTATATCTTGTGCTTTTGTCAACTACTGACTTCTTTGCCTCAATAGAATTTAAGCTTTTGCTTGAACGTGAAAAGCAAGATTTTTGTCCAGTTTCCTGCAGAGGTTAATAACCAAAGTTGAGACTTTCACAACAATGAAGTTAAAATTATCATACCAATTTTAGAGCAGTAACGTTGCATTAAAATGTAATTCATTCAAAATAGATTTGAAAGTAGTTTCTAAAACTGCCATTTCATCTGGGTTTATCTGCTAAGTTTTTAGCTTGACAGTTGCATTTTCTCACAGTTGTCTTCCATGTGGCCTTCCAAAGGAAAATCTAATTGTATGTATAGTAAAATAAAAAAACCTGAAACTAAACAAAAAAGCAATTTTTTTCCCCTTGAAATGTCTTCAAAAGGATATTTTGTGGGGTTTTTGTAATTAAGTAAACTGAATATTTAAGACAGATGTTAATCTTTTCAAGTTGCTGTTACCTCACTCCATCTGAAGACTTGTTCTCATACCTTTCAAAGCAAATAAAAAAGCCTTGGCATCAGTTTCTGATGGAACAATATTTCCACTTGGTGCATTTTGTCTTTGAAGAGCTTTCTAAGATTGTACAATTCAATTCCTGAAGCACAGAAGATATTTTCTTCTGAGTCTTTTACAGCACCAAAAGCACAGTGAATTTAACTCATTTAATGGACATTTTCATGGTATACCTCAGAGTTCGACAGTCAGGCATCCAATTCTTTGTTCCCTCAGTGTAGATTGTAACTGCTGTTTGGTCTTTGTCATGAGCCACTAATAAGACAAACATTCTGAAGTGTTTGTGCAGCATGTCTTTCCCAGTTACTAGTGTACATGTAAAAAGTCCAGAGCATAGGAACATTGTATATTAATATTTCACTGTGTTTTTACCAGGTGGTGGAAGTCTTGTCCTTCACATGGTTAGTGATATGCTTTTAGTTGAGGTGAGCTCTGTAGAAGTGTGCATCCAGGTGGCCAGTGACGCTAGGCTTGTGTCTTTGACAAATGGGGTTAGCTAAGTGCTGATGGTTTGTGTATTGATTGTAGAAGAGGCCTTAAAAATCAACACTGGAGTAAATATATTAAACAAAACTTTCTTTCCTGTCATGTGTATCTTTATAAATGCTTGTAACAATATTGTCTGTTTTTATATTTTGTAAATAAATATTTTTGTTTGCATTTACCTTAACTTGGTTTGTGTTAAGGGTGATTTCAAAGGTCATTAGCTGACAACAGAGCATACCGTCTCCTTGGGTTTGGCAGTCCTTATTTTTGCAATACAGCAATACTCCTGTAGTGGCAGAATCCCCGTACTTTGCTCCAGGGAGTCTGAAAGGGAGCAGAGGGCTTCTCTGCTTTATTTTTTTAAATGTTTGTGAGGACTGTTTTTAGATGAAATGGGTTTCTTTGGGCAAGATAAGCCAGATAAGCTCCCTTACTGTTGGAGCAGGATAGTGGGGGAGTGTGCTTGGATCCTCAGAAGTTTGACATATAATTTGCCTCTATGCATTATTGCCAATTTTGAAATCTGATTGTGACAATCCTGATGCAAGTCGATACTGACATTAAAAAATACGTAATTAGTTTTATTGTGTTTTTTTTATTCAAGTCACAGAATTAGTGATGGGAATAAGCAGTCTAAAATAGCCCTGCCTATTACATTATGAATTGTGTTAATAAAACATTATGCTCTTAATATAGTTGTTTGTGGTGGTAGGAGACGGAGCAAAAATTCTTCAGTAATTGAAGGATCAGCATGTCTCTAGAAGCCAGGGAAACTTATGAGAAAGCAGCTATACTTGAAAGTCTGAAAGTTACAGAGCTGAAGCGTTGTATTTAAGTTTAGAGTGTACACAGGTGACTATTACACAGAGAAGCCATTGTGATCTAAAAATGCAGTCAATGCATTTGGTATATCATTGGACCTATGAACTATGTAAAAAGTGCCTGCTTTGTATTGTCAGCCTCTTCCTTCTTGCTTCAATATTTGTGATGTGTGTCTGTGGGGAAAATGGTATTAAAAGTCAGGATTGGAAGGGCAGAACTCTTGCGGAGAATAGCATGCTGAACTTGAAACTGTTTTACTTGACTAAATAATAACAACTTTTCATACTTCAAGCAGAGATTTTTTTTCAAGATCCAAAGCTGCCATCGAGTGTCTTGACATAATACAAAGCCATGATGGTCTCCAAAATGGTGACTGACCATGTGGGGAAAGTGTATGGGAAATCTAACTAACCAGGGTATCTACTAATAGGCCCCAGTCCGGTAAAGCACTAAAGTACACATGTATGTTTAAGTATGTGAGTGGTCCCAATGTGGTTTCAGTGGACTACTTGCATGCCTATGTGTATTGCTGGATTGAAGCTTTTGGTGAGTAGAATAACTTTTATTATCTCCTGAACCAGTTTCACAAACAAAACATTACAGAGTTACTTTAAGTATGTAAGGGAAACTTACTAACTCAAGAAAGTGTATATTTTAAACGCGCATTCTTTTACATACATGACTGTCATGTTAGGTGATGGTTAGAAGATCTTTTAATTCTTCTTGTGCCTTGTTTATGATCTGTATTTTTGTCAGCTTGGACAACAAATAAACACTGAAGTCAGTTTCATAGACACGTAGGACTTCTGGGATTTTTAAATCTGCTTTGGTCAGTGCCAGATGTTTCAGCAATGATCTTCCCAACAGAAACACTGTTTATCCCAGGCAGTAAAAAAAAATCCCCTTAAATAAGATATAATAGTTAGAGTACAAAAACAATTACTCTGTTTTATGCAGTTTTAGACATTTGTGTTTGTCTTACTGTTTTTCAGCATTTGCTAAATTTTTTACCTGGTCCCTGTGACAGAGATTTTGTGGTTTAACTGTATTTTCCTGTTCAGCAGAGTCACTTCTAAATTAGTTTCAGTTTCTTCTACTGGCCCTTTACTCTTGTGTAATGCGTGAGAGGCTAAGGTTATGAGATAGTGACTAACAAAGGACAGAAATACTTTGTAAAGCAAACAAAAAAAAAATGAAACTGTTAACTTACTTTATGTCTATATGCCATGTGCTGTTTTGATTATTTGGTTTCTTCTCTGCTTCAAATGGTTCTAGCCCTTTCAATCTCCTGCACGTGCTCACCTCCAAAGAAATTTTATTTGTCCCTGAGCACTGTTCTTTTTCTTCTTTCAAGGTAGAATGATCCATAAAATGCACATGATCTGAGGAACAAGGCACAAGTAATTTTACAAAAACAGCCAGAACTTGTTACATCTTTATATTCCCAAATGTTTTGTATTTCTCTTGATTGCTTTGCATATATAGTAGACTTTTGCATTCAGCTTCTGCGTTTGCTCCATATTTTTACCAAAATGATTCTGATTAGTATGTGCAGGATAGTTTCAAATATGTTTTTCTTTTAAATATGGGGGGGGGGGGGGGGGTGTGTGTGTGTTTGGTTTTTGGTGGGTTTTTTTTTTTGTTTTTTTTTTAATTATTATTCTAGTTCAGCAACACAGATCTAAATAATCCATTATAAAACAGTCAATTTTATGAGCTACCAGTCTGGTTTTACATTTATACAAGTTTGTTTTAGGCTGAAGATAAAGATTTGAAACAGTAAAACTGAATTCATGTAGTACATCGGATTCTTCTTGTAATTATTTTATACATAACCTGAAGTTTTAGTGTGGCTTAATAGAAGGTTGTTCATGTGAACAGTGCTGCATGATGGCTTTTTTTCTTTAAATTCTTAACTATTGCGTTTAGTTTTGTTGATTAATAAGATTCTGTTGAGCATAAAACGATACACACCAGAACTTTCTGTGACCAGAATGGTTCTTTCAAAATAATTCTTATAATATTTTGTACGTACAGATGATATTACCAGGTTGTTACACTTTAACTTCAGATTTTGTATTGGTTTATGAAAGCCCATATTCTATGTACATACCAAGTAGTCCCAGCATTTTTTTTCTCACTGCCTATTTATAGTGAAACCAAATATTCAATGTGTAAAACAACTTTGTAGCGTTTGTTCTACAACAGCTTTTTCCAGATCAGCTGGATATTACTGTGGTCTGATGTATTTTTAAAAGTAATGTTTTTCTTCCTAGGGCGTGGACATAACTACAGCTATGAATGATCGAGCAATAGCTCAGAAAAGGCTTAATGAAAACACATTTGATTTAGAGGCCATGTGCATGTTAAATCGTGCACAGGAGCAGGTATGTTGCAAATTTTCATCAGCATTTTGATGTACTTCAAGTAAATGTTAACCTTTCATACAAGTTTTTCTTACGCATTTAAGTACAGGCTTTTGGAAGCTCATTTTATCAGCATGTGGTTAAAAATTCTGCCTTTATTTTGCACATGTCGTGGTTTAAACCCGGTCAGGCAACTCGTTCACTCACTCCCCTGCTTCTTTCCCTCCCCCTGCTCCTGGAGGGATGGAGAGGAGAATCAAAAAGAATGCAACTCCCACGGGTTGAGATGAGAACAGTTTAGTAACTAAGGTATAACACAAATCACTACTGCTACCACCAGTAATAACAATGATAAAGGAAATAACAAGGGAAGAGAATACAACACCTCATCACCAGCTGACCAATAACTCACCCCCCCCAGCCCGACCAAGCACTGACCGATACCTCCTCCAACCCCACAGTGCCCTAGCCCTTCCGGGTAACTCCCAGTTACATCCTGGGCATGACGTGCTGTGGTATGGAATACCTCTTTGGTCAGTTTGGGTCAGGTGTACTGTCTCTGCTTCCTCCCAGCTTCCCCTCCTCCCTGGCAGAGCATGAGGCTCACAAAGTCCTTGGCCAAACCAAAACATCATTGTTATCAGCTCTGTTCCCAGGCTGAAAGTCAAAACACAGCACTGCACCAGCTACCAAGGAGAAAAATGACTGCTACTGCTGAACCCAGGACAGCACATCATAGCAATGATTTTGAGGATAAGGAAACCGTGAACCATAAACTTGCTAAACTGAGTTTGGGCTTTTGGGTTAACATACAAAGATGCTCAGCTTTTCAGAATGTCTGCTTACAAATGAGTGAGCACTAAACATAAGTGAAGAATTGTTATGAAAATAAGAAGCAACAGAGAATTGCAAAGCAAAAGTGTGCAAATTTTTATTTTGGTCTTACATTTGATTTTTATTTTGTAGATTGATGCCTGGGCTCAATCAAACTCCATACCTGGCCAGTTCACAGGAAGTACTGGAGCACAGATATTGTCCTCGGATGAGCTGACCAACAGTGGTCCCCAAGCATGGATTAGAAAGGTAGAAGTTATGCAGACATACTTGTCTAACTATCATATTTTAAATAGTAGAAGTATTAGAAAATGCACGAAACGTGCCTTAAAAACCTATGGTAATGCATGTGTCAAATATAATAGGTTGAGTTAAATCATTGTGTTTGATATAGATACATGCTGCTGCTGTGTCTCTTTTGTTGTGCATTAAGGTATTGTTCATGACATAGGGTACTTCAATAAGGTGTGCGTCTGGTATTTGAGTCAGATCGGTTCATACATACCTTACGCTGAAATGACATTTATAATAACGTTATGGTTGCAGTGGTAGGTCCATCACTACTTTTACAGGATTGGGACAGATCAGGCAAGGTTTGATCCTGATGTTACTGAAGTCAGTGATGTTTTGGCATCAACTTCAGTGAGCTAAGTACCAAACTGACATATTGTTTGACTTGGTTTTGTCTGATGGCTACTTGGCCTCTGTTTGTATCACCAGGTTTTTCTGGAACCCAAAGATTTAAAGTATTTAACAGTTGCAGTTTGGTTAATAAGTTAAATGTCACCCTACAGTGAAATAGTTACCTCTTACTGCAGAGTAATAGTGGCATTTGGAGTGTGGTGCGTCATACATACATGCGTTTTATAAGTTTAATAATTCATGCTTCATCTTTGAAAATGAATACCAAACTGGTTCTCTTTCAAGAAGTAGAACTGAGGAATTCAAGCACTGTCTATCTTTCATGCAAAAAGAACGAGATTACTTGCAAGATTGACTGCTGTTATGTAGTTGAGTATATGTTGTATCTGCTTGTCCTTCTGGAATGCAGTGTTAAGACAACCCTCAAAACTGGTAGGTTAGATTTGAGGCTGAGGCAGAATTTTCCATAAAACTTGGTGTAAACTGAACACAAAAGTCTGGAGTTACAGCATCCTAAAAATAGAAATATTTTTACCAAGGTTCACTAACTTATTTTTCCACTTTATATAGCCAAGCAGTACAGAGAGCCAGGCAACACAGGGATCCAAGTTACTTGCTAGATGGGAATCTTTTGAGCTTTTCTCAGTATTAATACAGAACATACGTGACAAAGTCTTATTTTAACAATTATTAACTTTTTAGATTGTAACCAAATGTTGGCTGTGATTACGATAATTGTCCCTTGCAGAGGAACTTAGAAATATAAAGCACTCAGCAGGGATGCGTTGGTGAGAAAAGAGCTTTTCCACCATGAGGCTTGTGAAAGAGATCAGCAAGCGTGTGAGGGTTCTCCCTTTCTGCAGTACCTTGAGTGGGTTCCCAAGGCAACAGAAAGGGAGCATCTCTGATCGTCTCCTTCCCAAGCCGCCTCATCCTGTTTTAATTCCTTAAGTTTCTGTGGTGGTCTTCTGTGCCTTACAGTAACAAGAGTGTACACTAACAAAAAGTAAGTGGAGGAGGCAAGTGAGTTTTCCCTCGGTCTTCTAACTTTTCACTCTGTGATTGGCTTTAAAAATAAAATCAAAAAAAACACCAATGAACTGAACAAAAACCCCAAACAAACCCAAAACAAAAATCCAACAAAATGCTTTATAGAGAAAAAGTGAGAGAAGACTCTGGTCTCTGGCTTGTGGGCATGACTGCTGTGAGGAACAGAAGCATACTGGAACATTTTGTTGAATCTAGAAATAAGAGTGAGCAAGCAGAAACACTTCTGTTGTTCCCATAGCTGTAAGACTGTAGTGGTTTGCAGTAGTAGGCGTCCTCCCTAGCAAGCATCATGTGGTTTGTCAGAAAGGAGGCTGCTACTGGAAACAAGAAGAGTTTGGTGAAGATCAGGACTCAGCCCTCTTTCCTGCTCTGGCATTCCTCAGCTTGACTTCTTTTGTTCTTTCCAGGTTCCATATTTGCACGCACATTGCCATCAAACTCATGAGATGACAAGTAGATAAGTCACACACCTTCTGTGTATTAGGGGCTGCACAGGACTCAACCTGCGTTTTTAGGAATGGTGGGTCCTGTGAAAGCCTTCACAAAATTTAGGTTCGGTGAATTTAATGTGGACTTACAGCCTATGGTTAGAGAATGATTTCACAGAATAAAGTGAAGTAGGGATAATGGGTTATGAATGCATGTTATCTTTCTCAGTGTCATGAATGCAAACCAACCATGAAATGCAAAGTACAGGTTGCATTTTACTTAGGCATTTGAAGTTCTGTAACTTAGTTCCTGGTAATTATGCAGTGTAGCACTGGAAAGTCAGATTTGTACTCCCTTATTTTTTCGTCCTAAGAAAATGCATTTTATCATTAACAAAAGACCCCAAAACCAAGAAACTAGTGTTATCTAATTTTTCACCTGCTAGTGGGCTGTGGAGTTTGTTAGGTGTGTTTTTATGAGGGGAATGGCTTTAAACTGAAAGAGAGTAGTTTCAGATTAGATACTGGGAGGAAGTTCTTCTCTGTGAGGGTGGTGAGGCACTGGCACAGGTTGCCCAGAGAAGCTGTGGCTGCCCCATCCCTGGCAGTGTTGAAGGCCAGGCTGGATGGGGCTTTGAGCAGCCTGGTCTAGTGGAAGGTGTCCATGCCTATGGCAGGGGGTTGGAACCAAGTGAGCTATAAGGTCCCATTCAACCCAAACCACTCTGTGATTCTGTGTTGTGTGTGTAAATTAATGCATGTTTCTGACTGAAGATGTTGTTTACTGAAAGCATTTTGCTTGAGAGATTGTCATAAGCAATTGCCATAAGGGGACTTGTGGGCCAGCAGAAACAGAGCCCATGTCAGCTTGCTATTTGTGTATCTTTAAACAAAGAACATGTACAGACATTGTGCTTGACAGATAAGCGCAAAACTAGACTGATGTAGGAGAAGAGCAGTGTCAGGAGGGGAGAAAAACTAAAGTATTTGGGGAACTTGTTTTGATAAGCGCTGTCTTCACTTTGCATTTCGTGGATTTCAGCTACTTTTTGTTGTTTAAAAATAACTTCGGAGAAGGTAATATGTACTCAAACCAAAATATGCTTGCAATTTCAGTTCAATCTCAAAGTTCTGAGGGAATTAGTTACCAAAGTGGTTAACGTGGCATGCTTGAGTGATCGGCACACCAATTAGAAGTATGGTTTGTTTTTCTAAGTCGTGTGTTAATTCATGCTGTTCATGGGCAGGGTTCTGAGCAGTACTTAAGGAATAATATGTTGTTAGGTTTCTTGTATCATGAAAGCAGATTTATGAACAGTATTATCTCTTTCTTTTGAAAAGTGGCTTCTGTTTCAGTTTATCGTCATTGGTGTAATCAGTTCACAAATATGACTGACTTATTCTGGAGGTTGCTTCTTGTTTTTGTATTTTTTTTTTGATGTTTTCTTATGAATACACTATGCTGCTGAATGAATGCTAAATCAGAGGAAGGGGTCAAATACTTTTCCCAGGCAAATTCTGTTGAGGTCTACTTACTCAGACTTTCCCAAACTTCACCACTTGTTTCTGGATTTATCAGCCTAATTCTCCCACCTAAACTTTATCCCCAGACAAGGTTTCTGCAGTGTTTTATGTGCCCGGGATAGTGTCCGAGATCTGTTTAATTCAGTTGGGCTAAAGCATGACATGCAGTTTTACTGTGACCATTAGAATACTCTGTGTTAGCTAAAGTTACGAAAACTTAAAGCATTCTTCCATTCTTCCATGGTTACAGCAGATGAGCAAACTCATGCTAAAGATGGATGTAAAACTAAGTCTTGTGATTGTCACTTGCAGAAGGACTGCTGACTTTCTCACAAGGCCATTTGTATTGCTATTGCCTTAAATGACACCATGAGCTTTCATTGGAAGTGAAGGCCATGTGGCAAGGCCAATCAACTATGTTAGTTACATTGGACTGGCTCCCTGTTCAACCCTCAGAATGTTTGGGGATTTTTTCCCCACTGTCTTCAGCTTGCTTTCTACTGACTGTATGCAAACGCTGCGAACAGAAATCCTGAAGCTGATTGCTTCAGGATTTCAGGAGTGTAGTTTTTGTAAGGCATTTGATAGCATTCTTCAGAAAGGTATTCTTTCTCTTCTACTGGGGAAGGAATGTGGCTGCTCCTAAAAGTGCCAGTTTATTTAATGGAAGATTCAGCTACTTTGCAAAAGTTTTGCCAAGGATAGATGCTTGTTCTGGTGCTTGGCTTTGAGGAATTTCTCAGAGTTAGTCTTAAAATAATCTTTAAGACAGCCCATTGTACTATAGCTGAAACTGTCCACCAAGTGCCTTTAAGGCTTTTTTGTCTTCTGCTTAATGAACTATTGCTCAAAAGAAATAAACATTATGACACAACTTGTATTTTAGTGCATGTCAGCAGTGTGAGAAGGAATGGGTATTTTCTTTTTACAGAGGAGAAATTGATGGTGTGTTTTAAGATCTCTCAATTATGGCTTTCATATTTTGGTTGCTGTGGGTGCTGTTTCATGGATTGTTTAGTTCAGTGCTGTGTACTGTCCTTTCCCCAGAGACAGCTGTTGCAATTAAATGATGGCAACTGTCCAACTTGCATTGTGTTTCAGAAAAAAAAAGTGTAAAGTTATCTTTCAGGTGTGATTTTTTTATTTGTGTGTGTGTGTGTGTGTGTGTGTGTGGTTTTCCTTATGTAAGCCCTTAAATGCCAATTCAGGCACTCGTGTCCCCAAAAATGTGTTGCTCTAACATAGCTTTAAAAGAGGAATAGTTTTTAAATTGGTAAAAAACCCTCTTACGTGATCAGGTTTTACTGTGTAGCCTTCTTTTTAAAGCAAGTGTTGACACAAGAATGTGGTTTATTGATTGTCTCCATCTACTGGCAGAATGGAAGTGTACTTTATTTGGCTGACCTTCCATGGAGTTTAGATAGAGATAAAAAGATGAGAGGAGTGGTACTGAATTTTCATGCAGACTTACTCAAATTGAGATTAGTGAATGAAAGAGAACAATTATTTTGTAAATTTTTATTTTATTTTGTTGTTTTGGGGTTTATTGTATTAGATACTCTTCAATTTGATATCCTCCTATGGGCCAGATCTGCAAGGGTATGGAGCTGCTGAAGAGTTTTGTAATTTTTAAAACTGAATAGAAATTTAGATCTTGTTCCAGCTCTTGTTAACATTTCTACTGCAATTTTAACATTTTCAAATGTACTTACAAAGACAGCTCTAGTTGTACCCATACTCTGTTAAGTCATGGGCTGAGGGAAGTTATCTGTCACTGCATTTAGTTAAAGATAATTGTACAGGTGACATTAGAGGTTTATGTTCAGTTTATTATTTAAAACCAAACCAAAACTGAAAGAACACTTTCCTCCTGCTGCAAGCCTTCTTTGCTTCTTCAGTAAACTGAATCAAAGTGGGCTTCTGACTCCTCTCATTTAGGAGAATTATTTCATTTAGCCTTCTAGTGTGATGTACAAGTACAGCTATTCTGTACTGAAACAAGTCTTTCATTTCTAATCCCTTGTTGTCTTGCTTCTATTGTATATGTTGAAGACTCAGCATAGTGTGAAAAATTCCTGCTGAAGTTACCAGATAGGGCTCCGAATTCACACATTAGAAGCGGTGTTTTTAATAAACTCCACTTTGGGATTTAGAAGACTTTTTATTTCCAGGATTTGGAATTTTATTCGGGCTCTGGTAATTCCTATGTAGGAGCTCAGGGCTTTGATTTTTAACTAAGAATAGCAATATTTAGGCTCTGGTCTTTCTTTTCTACACAACTACTAAATGTACTATTAGTACATTTACAGGTGTGATGAAAAAACTGTGTAACATGAAAATGACCTCATCTAGAAATGGCAATTTTATCATTTGTGAACTGAATACACGCTGGTGGTAATGAAACAGATGTTTATATTGAAAATTCTATCATTGCAAAGCAGGTACAAAAGAGGAATCGGAACCCAGGGTGACATTGACTGGGGTTTGTATCATTCTCGGCAAGGTTACCCTTTTCTTATGAGAGGTTCCTGGAAAGGAGAGGGGAGGATGAAAATGGAAGTAAGTAAAAGCCATTCTAGGTATATAGATTGAGGCAGTTCATATCGAAGAAACTGATTTTGTACGCACACACACTGCATGGTCTGCACCAATCAGAAAAAGAAGTTGAACTGGAGAGGTGCATGTAGCCTCTCTACTTTTCCGTCAGACCACTTTGTTAAATGCAGCATCCGGTTACATGATTGCTAGGTGTTTAATGTTTAATAGGGAAATATTTGGAGAAGTTCTGCCACAATCTTCCACAATTATTATTATTTTTGAAAATTTTTTAACACCGTGGGGATTACACACATGCTTCAGTGTGTGTCAGTTGCCAGTTTGAAATCCCCTTGATATCCTTAGTCTCTGCAAAAGTAAGACTTCTGGTTTTCTTTTTGTACGTATCAAGACCAAGGATCTATCAGTCCTGTGTCCAAACCTGGGAAATGCTTACTTTTGCAAGCACAATTCAAAATGAAGAAGAAAAACCCCAAGCAATGTTCTATTAATTTGCTTTGATAGTAAGTAACATTTTCACAAAGATACTAGGCATTGTATCATCTAACCTACTATGCGAAATAACGGATGGACTTATCAGTGCCAGTGTGTAAACTTGTATATTTTAAGGCAAGCAATTTTTTGCTGTGATGGAAATGATTGACTTACTTACTTGGGTCAGCGGGGGGGGCAGAAGAGAGTTGATAGTTCACAGAATAACCTGTGAACTTTCACCCCTCTATATGGAAACTTGTTTCAGGGTCAAATCCTTGTAGCTGCCTTCTTGCCACGGTCAATGCCAGCCCTACTATTCACAACACTGCGGCCATCGAGGCCTAGGTACGTAAACATTTAAGGAGTTTTTAAAGTTCTTTACATCAAAACAGATTTTTAAGATTTCTGTTTATAAGCTTTCACCATTTAACAGCTATTATGTAAATGATGATTTGAAAGAATGTGAAGACTTCTCTACTGATGCTAAACTGTGTGGCTAAGCGCCTTTAAAAAAAAAAGACGATAAAAACCTGTATGTTTCATGTGGATTTTCAGAGTAGAACTTGAATGTGCAACTGCTGTATAATAAAATGGGGAAACTTTTTTATATATATATATATTTAAAATACGCCTAAACACTCTGTGAATGTCATTACTAAATGTGCTTGTATTTTGTTCAGTAACTAGGTACACTTGGCACGCATGTTGCCAGTTAAACAGTTAACACTGCCTCCTTTCACGAGATGAGAAGAGATGCATTGGAACCAAAGTAGCGTGTTTAAAACTGGACGGTTATCGTTTTAATATGTCTGCAAAGGGTCACCTGCCACTTTTGGATCACATTAGAATTTTCTTAAGTTGTTCTTTTTTGCAAATATTGATTGTGTCTCGTGTGTCTGCGTGAATTCTGGTTGCTGCCAAATGTTAATGTATATAAAGCTAAGGTGTATGTTTTTTTTTTTTTATTTAATTGAGTCTGTGAAAGGTTGTTAGAAACATTTTTTTGGAAGCTTCCCCTTAAGTTTTAAAACCCCAGTGCTAACTTTAGGACTTGTTTTACTTTTCTTTTTCTGGATAGGATCAGTTCTTAAGAGCAGCCCCTGTAACTGGAGGAATGGGAGCTCAACTGATGAGAAAAATGGGCTGGAGAGAAGGAGAAGGGCTTGGGAAAAACAAAGAAGGCAGTGTTGAGCCAATTATGGTGGACTTTAAGACAGATCGGAAAGGTAAGCCCTTCTTTACTTGTCTTGTGGCAGTATAAACTTCTCATGTCTGTTTTGGAGATGGGCAAAATAACTTCGAAGTAGTAACCCTTTTCTGGGTACAGCACCACTGGAAAAACTAAAAGAATGGCGTAGGTGATTTTGGTACAAGGTTTTCATGCCTTGGATTATATATATAGGCTTTGTCTTTATGCTTGTGGACTCTTCAGACGTTCTTTAACTTTCCCTAACCATCGCCCTCCATTTTGAAAGTGTTTCTTAGTAAATTAGGGATGTGCTTCAGTTGGATGCTTGGAGAAGGCATGGGGCAGGGATATTGTGGAAAAGCCACTGTGGTTGGTCTAGAGGAAGTGGCTCACGCAGAAATGGGGCTGGATAGAAGATTGACTAGATCAGTTTTAAACTGGGGTGCAGGGCAGAGATGAGACCTACAGAGCTGGGTTTGCTGCTGCCTTTCAGCTGAAGTCCTGACAGGAACAGTCTCACACTGATGTTTTTAGGTCTTTCAAAGGGATTCTGTTTCCTTTTTTGTCTGTCTGCTCTCTTTGCTTTTCCATCTCCTCATTTGATCCTGTTGCAGGAAACTCTGCTCAACTACAGTGATGTTGGCCTGATTGTTTCCAAAGATGATTTTTTTTAGTGGTCTTTTCTGCTTCTCTTTATCAAAAGTCCATGGCCACAAGTGGAGAACTGTTGCACTTGTTTCATTTGATGCAAGAGAACCCTCCTTTGAATTGCAGGCAGCATGCTGCTCCTGAGGCTGGGCAGCGTGGTTTGTATGGTTGGCCATCTTGCCAGTACATTCAGCAAGAGCTCTCTTTTTAGAGTGAATGTTTTTGGAAATTTTTCATCAGCAGTACAAGTTCTAACCATTTTAAATGCCAGATTCATAATTTTAGCAAAATTTCAAGATTTATTAGGCATGTTAGCAAAATTAACAACACTGCAGGAAAACATGTTCTGTCTGTTGTTCTCCTAATATGTATTTGTTTTTTTCAACTGGGAAACTTTAATATTTTAAATAGATCACATCTAATATCAAAGCATGAAAATACTTTGAATTACGGATTTATGTTAGCTTTTATCAATGCTCATGATTGAGCTTGGAAGAAAACAAAGCATATAAATGCAAATGTTGTGAAGTTTGTTTGCAGAGATGCTGCTGGAGGAATCTTCAAGTGTCAACAGGATAGTTCTTAATACAGAGGTAGTTCAGTACTACTCAGGTGACAGCAGTGAAAATACAGTTTAAACATTGAAATATTAAGCACAGAGAGGTAGAAAATGAGGGGGGCCTATGTTATGAAAATATTCATTGCTTTCTAAATCCTAAAGACCTTCTAGCAGCATAATGTGGGTTTTATAAATGGAGAAATGCAACAGTCTCAAAGTACTGAACACAGTAATACGGACTTTGCTTTTCAGCTGGTTTTCTTCTGTGCAACGTCTCTGTTTAAAGAAAGGAAAAAAAGATAACCCGGTGACAGAGTGGTTGCCAAGAAAATCATTTTTGACAAGTATTTTGTTACTGTTACTTAGCTACTGTCGTCTTTGTAAATGTTGTCTTGGAAAGTTTTCGGTGCTGGCAAGAGTTCCTTCAACTTAGTTTGATTTATAGCAGTCAGAGAGAAGAAACTGAGAACAGTGTCAGTATTATTTTCCCAAACAGCCTGTGTAACATGGTGATGGATTTTTGTGGTGAGGAGGGAAGAAGGGTTAGCTCTGTTCATCATGTTGTTTGCTTCTCACATGAAAGAGTCAGTTTTGCTGCCCAACCTGTGAACGTTCTGAACATTAAAAACATTTTAGTGAGACGCAGCTCATGTTGCAGCTCAATTTTCCAGTTACAGAAGTGTGTCCCAGGATCTTCATGTTGTTCCTAATACAAATTTCCTTAGTGCCTGCAGAATTTGTTACCAGAGTTTCGAGCACCAAGCCCTAAGGCCTGAAACAGGTCAGGTCCTTGTTGTGCTGGGCATTCTGTAACAGGTAGTTTGCTTTTTCTTCTTCAGAACATTCAGTCTTCAGTAACAATTAAAAACGTTTAGTGGAGTTAAAGGATGCCTCTTCCTGGCCTGTCTGAAAATACAGATAACCTTAGTGATGGCTGCGCTTTGCTCGAATTTAACTGGTTTTCAGTTAAATTCAGCTCGAATTTAACTTGATTATCATCCTGTATGCAACCTAATCTCATCGTTTCCACCAAAATAAAAAATTCTAAACATGTTCTGTGTTGATAAAGAATTATCTTTAAAGTTGAGCCAGCCAAGCCTGTAATACAGGGAGGCAGTTTGCATTGTGAAGAGGCTGCATGTTTCATGCATTACAAAGAAGCAGCTGAAAGGTGATTGTACATTTGTATTGAGTAGCTAAAAAGCTTCTTCAAACATCAGAGTTTTTCGATGCTTAAATGTATAAAAAATAGTATTTTTTAAAGTTTTTTCTAGAGGTTTAAAGACAAATCAGGAATTTTTAGAAGGAATCTGTCTGTTACATTAAGTATCCTGGTTTTGTTTCGTAAGGAATGTTTTGTCATGTTTTTAGAACTCATCACCAAATAAAATACTATTCCTAGATGCAGGACCAAGCAATTTGCTCAGAGTTACTCAGTAAGCTGCACTAGGACACAAACCAAAAGGTTGTCTGTCTGCCTTTGTCGTAGCTTTCTCTTAGACCCTGCTTTTTCCAGGCACTGAGCAAGATCTGTAGTTCTGTCACAGGCAGCATTGAGCCAAACCCTCCTTGGCTTTGATATCAGCCAGTAAATTCCTGGTAGTCTGTGTTCAAAGAACCTTGGTCCATCAGCGGTACTTGGCGGAATCCACTGTTTTGACAGTCCCTCTTGAGGTACCAGGGACAAGATGCAGAAGACAAGTGTCAGTGACTGTGAGTGAGGGAGACACAATATTAATCAGAGAATGACATGAGGTTTTTTTCTTTGGAAATCTTTGGTTACTTTGGATATAAAATTCTGTACGGGGAAGAAAAATAAACCTTGTTTCAGTGATTCTTGTCTGTGAGGGTTTCATACCACTTGAAAAGCCCTTACTCAGGAGCTGCGTGAATATTAGGATGACAGTCTGGTCAGGAGAGAAGGATTTTCTTCAAAGGCAAACCAAATCAAAATGCCAGCCAAAAAACCCTAAAGGAACAGGAAGAAACTGGAAACAATTGCAGTATCTCCCTGTCCTTATTCACCAAAGCCAGGAACAGAAACAAATAGAGGTAAGAAACAAAGTAGTATTTGAAGGACTGCAGTCCGAGAAACTGAAAACTGGGCAGGTATTTTTGGTATTTAAGGTAATGGCATGTAAAGATGTAAAGAAACTTGAGTCACTGTATGAGCATGGCATGGTTACTAGCATTTGATATGTTTTTAGCAACTGTTGCACTTAATTTCTTATTCTTGTAAGCTTTCAAAAAGAAAGAGACTTCACGGTGACTTTCATTGGCACTTGTGCTCTTTGTGTTGTCTTGTGGCCCAGTTGCACGCTCTTCTGCTGTTTTATATTCAGATGCAATTGAAGGCACGGAAACTGGGCTGTGAATTTGCACTTAAAGGATTTGAATACTGCTAAATGAAGAGAGCACATCAGGATGGTGCTGTGTTTACTTGTATTGCAAAAGAATGTGCTAGGTTGCACTTCTTACTGTTTAGTGGAAATACTTCAACTGCTGAGCGTGTCAGAGGCAAACTGTTACGGTAGTGGATGGCTTTTGGGTTGCACAAAAACACTGAAGGAGAGAATGTTCTTAAACTTGTCTCTTGTTCAGTGTTCCAAAGAGGGCATTGAAAACCAGGTGTTTCCTGACTTGCATGAGACTACTCAGAGTTATCTACTACCTGGCTTGTTCAGAGTCTTACTAGAGCAGTTGAGAAGAGTGTTATGTGTAGTAAGTATGAAGGGGGAAAAAAGTTGGATGAAAGGGAGGTTTGAAAGACTTCTGAAAAGACCATTGAATGGTGTTCAGACTTCACCTCCACTGAGTACATGTTATTGCTTTACTGCTGGTAATACAGAAGTCGGGTGAGGATCAGAAATGTAAACTTTCTTGTGTTTTGTTTAGGGCTTGTTGCTGTGGGAGAGAAGGCACAGAAGAGATCTGGACATTATGTTGTGATGAAGGATCTTTCAGGTGAGATTTTTGCTTTTCTTAAAGCAGTCTCGTTTAAAATGATGGCTTCAGTAGTGGCATTGAAATTTCAAATACGTTTTCTCTTCAAGGTAAACATCCCGTTTCTGCTTTGATGGAGATCTGTAACAAAAGAAGATGGTCACCACCTGAATTTGTGTTGGTGGATGACAGTGGGCCTGATCATCGCAAACATTTTATCTTTAAGGTGCGTGTGAGTTTCTTTGTTTGCTGTTGGTCTTTTTGTTAAAGGTGATGTAAATTCTTGCTTTTATTTGCACATAAACATATAAACCATCTTACGGGTAGTTGAGGGCTGCTGATCTTACGGGTAGTTGAGGACTGCTGAGCAGTGTCTTTGCTAAAATTTCTAAGTCGTGTTTCTGTAATGGCCAGATCAGACCTCTGAAGTTTATTAGTCTGTAAATCCATCAAGAAACACATTGTTCCACTTCCTAGTAAAATTATTGACTCATGTGGTACCATATTCTTGCTGTTTGCTTGCAGGCGTGGTGTTGAACCTTACTGTTGTAAAGGCAGCGAGCAAGATTGGTTTGTCCTTCAGTTATCTTACAACATGAGCGTTCTTTTTCACATCATACCCTGTATTAGCAGTTGATGCTCAGAAATGATGATGCTTATAGACCAGGGGTCTATTGACTACCCCAAGAGGGATGTGTAGGGAATGTGCTTAAAGGAGGAGCTGCAAAGGGCTGCCTCAGAGCGGTGGTTAAGAGGCACTTTGTAATGCTTTCTTTTCCCATAAACAGGTGAGAGTCAATGGAAATGAATACAGGCCTACTTTTGCCAGCCTTAACAAGAAGCATGCTAAAGCCACAGCAGCAACTGCGGCTCTCCAAGCGATGGGACTTGTACCAAAGGAAAGCATGGTTAATACCACCATGTTTAGGAGTGCCTCACACCGCTAGATATTGTTTTTTATATTGACATTATTTCAGATAATTTTACTCTGCACAAAAATGGTATTTGCCCTTTCATGTTGTAAATACATTGGCAATTCCCACGTTGTAAAAACTGTACAGACACCTTCAGGTTTTTCTTTTGTACCATCAAAATGTATTTAAATCATACTTAGTTTTTGGTATGTTTATATTGTTTACATTAGTGATGTAATTATTTCTTAAATGACTAAATCAGACGACAGACTCTGGAGGCATCAGTAATTGAAACCCTTGTTTTAAAGCTCGTGCGATTCCTCTTCAATACGGAATGTTAACACTTTCATACTGTTTTGTACGATGCTGCAGTTTTCCCTGGTCTCGGTAAAGCTATCCGTGCACTTTGCCGGCAGCTGGTGAAGGTCACCCGCTCACCCATGGCTGGTCGAGGCTGGTGCATGCTGCCGGATAGGTACCGGGCAATGCCGCGGCCCCGCGAGAAAGCACGTGGTGGTAGCCCTGTTGTACAGTGTTAGCACCGCGGCTGCTGTCTGTGTTCAGTCCAGGGTTGGACTTGGTGGTGTACTGCAGCTGGCCCCGCAGCCCATGCTCCAGGATGTACGTGATTTAGGCAGAAGACATGCACTCGGAGGGACGGCAGGAAGTCCAGCAGTGGATCCCATGAGACTCGCGATGTGAAGGTGACTCTCCCTGCATGTTCTAAGAAGGGAGATGATGGAGTTGTCTATTCCAAACAAATTAACACACTGCCTGATGTTGATTGTATGATTTTGTGGTTAATGTGAATTTTAAACTCTTAACAAATCTACAACTGGATTTGGGGGGGGGGGGGAAGGGATAGAATGACGCTTAAGTTGTTGTACCCAACTTGGTCAATAAAAGCAGCACAAGTTCATAATCTTAATCACTGGTCAGTAAGCAGTAATTCAAGTGTCTGCCAAGTTGACTTGTGGAAGAAGGGCACAGTGTAAGAGTATCCTGAAGATCACCAATAACTGTTAGAGCTGCAGGGTCACTTCTGGTTGCTTTGGAGTATTACCAAATTAATTCCGTGGGCTTCCACTTTCCATAATGGTACTCTGCCCTCAAGGAGAAAGCCTGATCCAGAGTTCAGGCAGTTTGACAAGGGAGAGGATGTACAAAGCTTTTCCTTCTTTTACATTTCTCACCCCCCCCCCCCCCCCCTTTCTTTTTTCCCCCTTTTAATTTAAGAAGTGTTAGTACTTGATCTGTGATCACTTTGGATTGGAAAGGGCATTGCACACCTCTGTCTGGATTTGTCTGAGTTATGATCAGGTTGCCAGGATTTATGGACTTCTGCAGCTCAGGTGCTTATTTCAGAAAAGTCTTTTTGAGGTTTCTTTGTATTACACCCCCTGAGCAGAGCCTCGTCTGGGATAGGAACAAAACACAGTTTGTACACAGCAAGGCTGCGCTCAGGCCTAAAGCGTGTGAGTTTCTCCATGGTAATAGGAACACAGAGGTGAAGAATTACTAGTACCTCTTCCACAAAGTAAGATGACCTGTGTGTATTCTGCCAACTGTTAAAGAACAAGGTGTCTTTCTGTGCCCTGAAGGGACAAGGGTCATGTCTTATGTACAGCAGAGAAATGGTGTTTGGTTGTTGACTGCCCACTTCCAAAAAATAAAGACCCTTACTCGTCTGTCAAAGCGCTCTAGGCCTAAGTTAATTTTCATGAACATAATTGTCTGTAATTAAAACTTTTTTCCCTTTGGCTTCTCGCCTTCAGTCTCTGACTAAATCTTTGGAGATTTCCTCGCCGCATTTGCTGCACTCCTTGGAAGGTGTGTATAAAAATAATAGAATATGATGGTACAGCAGTGGAAGGATCCACCCTAGGAGAAGTGGGTGTTGTATGGGTCTTAGCTCAAGTCGGGCTTGTTGATGTATGACTTAAGAGTAATTAATGGGGGATGTGGGAGCAGCTCTTAATCAGACTTTTGTGTAAATGTCTGGTTTGATAGAGCTGAAGCAGTTGAGATGTTGATTGTTCTGTTCACTCTGTCCATGGTGTTCATGTCAGCGCTGGTGTCACAGCTGTGCAGCATCACATCTGGGAACATAACAATCTCTTGTACCTGTTGCTTTGCCTTTTTTAGGTCTGTATTCCCCATGTATAATGTAAAGACATGTTACTGCACAGCAGCAAGGAGCAGATGAATTTGGTCCCACTGAAGACTCCATTTAAAAAATATTTAGGAAAGTTCTGGATTTCACGCCTTAAAGATGTGGTGCTGTACATGGATTTAACCTTTGGTCTTAAGGAAGACTTGTGAAAAAAGATAACTAAGGTCTGTAATGCCCTAATTATGACAAGCTCTTGATTTTGAGGCTTCTGTTCTAGTTCAGTTCCTTGTTGTTTAAGATGATCTATGGATCTAAAGCTAGTGCAGCGATGTGCTTCTGTTAAATCTGTAAATTTGAATTGGTTTGAGTGTTCTTTGCATGCAGGAATAGATAAGTAGTGATACATTAAAAAGAACAACTAGGAAAAACTCTCTTGGAACCTGGTTATTTGTGCAGCACTTGAGCCTGAAGGGGATTAGCCTGTGACTCCTCCCAGCTCTGGCTGCGGGATTTCCTTTTCTTGTAGAATTCTTTCCCTAGAAGTAACTTCTCTTGAAGGTGCTTCTGCGCCTTCCCTGTCACACAAGAGGGGAGCCTTTAGAAACAGTCACCCGAGGACTTGTAGCCGGCTCCCACAGGGACAGTTTCTTTGGATTCTTCCTTCCCATTTGTAGTTTTTAAACAGTTGGGACTGGAGGAGCAGGAAGAAGGCCTAGTGCCTGTACCTTGGAAAAGTTGGAATTGCCTCTCCCAAATGAAGGCCAGGTTAATGAAATGTTACTCATTGGGACAGGTTAAATAAATAAATCTCGCTGCTCTACACGTGCCTGAGATAATGGTAGGTAGTACTTACTGAACATACCTGTAGGTGGGGCGGGCTAATGCCAGAGCTTTTCTAGGGAAGATTCCCTAGTGCCAAGTATGTGTTGGGAACTGGACCAGGAGCAGTGGGTGCATGCTGCTGAAAGGGCAGGCAAATCTCTGAGTGAAAGCCAACAGTTCAGAGTACCAAGAGGCACTACAGCACACGATAAAGAATTCAGTTGTAGATATTTGAAGTTGCACAATTTTAGACTACCAGAATGTAACTGTGATTCAAGAATGTTAAGTGCATGCTAGATGTGAAAATACAAACTGAAACAAATAGTACTTAGGGACAGGCTCTAGTCCACATACCAAAATGGGCATTGGCTCAATTAAAATTGCCTTCCCATAGAGGCAACTGCAGAACTGGTTTTCCCTGTTATTTTCAGTAACATGTTCCATGTGCTAACACATACTCTGTAGGCCTGTTCCTCAAGCACAGACTGGGAAGATGCTGCCCAGTTCAGAACTGGATGGCGGGCTCTGAGGTCAGGAGCAGCTCTCAGAGAGGCTCACCCCTGGGACAACAGGGAAGCTCAAGAGAGACCTGGATGAAGCCTCCTGTTGCTGTTTTAGAATCCCTGGTCAGTTCTGAGGTGGTGAGCAGAACAGTACCACAGTGAAGATAAGGGTAGCTCACCACATGGCCCAAGCACCGCTTTGTTTTCTGTGCACAAGCACGATGTTCTACATACGCCTCTTCAGATTTATTTTGCTGCTGCTGAAATCTGATCACCTAAATAGCTGTGTAAAAAGTGACACACCTCATAAATAACAGCTCTCAAGTGAAGCAGACTGAATTCAACCTACTATTGCTATGAACGTATGGCAGCAGCCCCCTTCTGGCTCTCTGTTCTCGTACAGGTGCCACAACTATTTACTCCTCTAATTTGTTTGTAGAAGTGGCTCTTTAAAAGCCTGGTTAGCTTTAATGTGAGCGTGGGTATGGGAATACCAGCTAGCTATCCCCAGCAGTCCTGAGGAATTGAAACCTTTTAATGCAATCCTGCTTCAGCCAGAACACTCTGTCCATCCAGCTTTCATCTGTCTTTGTGGAGTTGAGAGTGGACTCGCTCTAAAGCAAGAGGTGCAACATACCCAGGTGCAGCTACTGAGCTCCTGGCAAGGTGCTGTGAGCAGTCCTGGAAGGAGGGGGGGAAGGCTGTGCCAAGAATTCCACGTGTCCAAAATGGTGTGGCAACTGCTCTGTGTAACATCTGCATGACATGAGGAATACAGACCTTCTGGCCACAAGTCAGACCAATAAAACAATCATGTTTTATCCAGTTTTATTTAAAAAAGGCTTTCTAAAATACAAAAGCAAATGTCCAAGGCCTTTTCATTCATTTCCTTTAGAAGTCCTTTGAAGTGTTTTATGCGATAGTTGTCTGTGTTGCGCAACTAGATCGTATCCCTACCAGTACCACATGGGTGCTGCCTGTGTAGATGGACGTGAACGAAATAACAGCAACTGCACGCTTGAGCATTCTCTCCCATTAAATGGGACTAGCATACCTAGGACTTCCAGGTATAAGCATAATCCTTCATTTCCAGAAATCGGATGGAAGATTTTCTCAATGTTGGACGCTGACTCAGTTGATCCAAAGTCTTGGGATGCAGTCCACATGTAGGAAGATCTTTGTGTACCGTTTCCTGTGGGAATTTACATGAAGAGGAGGGACACGGCATAGGTATTTCTGTTTGAAGTACCTGCAGTTCTAAATGTTCATTTGTGTACCTCTGGGGAGCTCCAGAAAAGCTGATTTCCTGGATGATTCCATTTCTAAGGGAGGGACAAACCCTGCGGACTGCCAGGTGGTGATCACAGGTAGTTGGGTGTAAACCCATGTGTTAAGGGGAAGTTTTATGTCATTCTGTGTCCTACAGTTTGCAATAAAGATACTATTCCTAACAGAAAAGATTGTCGGTGCTAGTTTCCTTACCTCACTCAAGGCAGGGCACGCGCCAGCAAGATCAGCGTTAAACACAGCAGTGGGTTCATGCGTATAAAATACACCAGAGAATGCTCCCCCCTGGGCAGCCTTGAGCAGCATGGTCAGTGCATGCAGAGAATGAGGCATGATGGGGCCCACGATCTCCAGGCTGAATATGTTCTCGTATGCCAAGCGAACCCTGGCTTTGGCATTTATACTTCGAGCCTGAGGACAAAACCACGTAGGATTAGTTCTTGACACACCAAATCAAGCCCTAATTTTAATTTATTTCAATACTGCAATGCTACAGTCCCATTAAAGGCTCAAAATACTTCTCAGTATCGTCAACTTACTGTTCAATACATGAGCATGAGGCTTTTACTGTCTTTCTAGGAACTCCTAAAACATACTGACTGATATGCAGGAATGCTATACAGCATTAACTGCTGAAGAACAGGGAGAACTGCCCTCTGGTGGGCGAAGATTGTACTACCTCTATTAATAGCATCTCCCTTAGTACCCACTACCTCCCTATAGTAACAGATGGTGAGCCATGGTTTAGAGGCTCCCTCCATGCAAGCGATACCTCTGATAGCTGGAGAACCCGTAAGATCTCAGGAGAACATTTTAAGAACTGTTTTAGTATTTGGGAAGTCCATTTAATCCCTTATTTATCAGGGTATGAAGAACAGAAACTTGGGTATTTCAGTTTAGCAGCACAGATCGATGTGGACAAAGACTGAGGAGGCAGTCTGTATTGCAGCCAAAATGCTCCCTTGGGCTGTAGCAACAAAAATTACTCTGCAGTACCTGAGGGAAACTATACAAAGCCAGTGTCTGATCCACTGGGTGAAGAAACAACTTGCTTTATTAGAAAATAGAGACAGTGGTGTGACTTACTTTGAGCGTTTGCATTGTTCCACCTCGGAAAGCAACAGGGGACAGCAAAGTCGGCGGAAGCCCTGCCTGCGGGCCTGCCACAGCCACCAGGCTCTTACAGTTTATCAGGAAGTTCAGCAAGGTGAATGTGTTTGTTCCTTTCACCAGCGCAAGGGACTGGGGTTTGTGATCCATCTGCACCTCATGATTATCCTTACGACTGCATTGACTGAAGTCAAAGGAAAACCATGAGGAATTGAAAAGCATCCATGCACCCAATTTAGAACTGGAGCAGCGCAGCTCCAGAAGACGCCCCTCTGACCAGTCAAGTCAGTTAAAACAAACAAAACCTACCAAGATTCACACTGATCTGGATTTGTTCTTCAAATATTAAACATCTTAAGCCAGGGTTCTGATTTCATTATTAAAACCTCAGGTGCTCCCCATGTGCAAATGGAACCAGAAGACGACAGAGTCCATTGGTCCCTTTGAAACACCTAAAGGTTCTCAGCAAAAGCTGTCCTAGTCTATAACTTTGTCCCTGCTATGCCACACTACTTCCAAATGTAAATTCAGCATACGTGAACAGACACCCTTTTCTTTCACACTGCCTTTTCCTTCAAGAAGAAAAGCATCTAGAAATACTTGTCCTAAACAAACAAAAAAGGCATGCACAGTCCCTGGCTATGCAGTAATATGAGGACTGGTATTTGGAAATAAGCTTTCAAAAGCTTTTACAAAACTCAAATTATACCACAGAAAGATAACATCTGCATGGTCTTCCACTGTCATACACAGTGATGTGCACAGAAAGGATACAGTTTAATAGAAATAGCATCTGGTTTCTTAACCTTGTCTTGGACTCCCATCTCCTCAAGCCAAGAGAAACTTTCATCATCGTCATCATCGCTTGGAGCTGGCTCTCTGGGAAACACAGAATCAGTGTTAGGTGGGCAACACTTCTTATGAAGGTTTCCAAATACAACATTGCGGATTCTGTAGATACCCTTGAATTTTAAGCATTGTGGAAGACCTAACATATGTAATACGTACTCTCCACCTTCCATGCTGTTGTCCACTTCGAGGCTGTTGGCACCTTCTGTTTCCAAATTCACTTCAGAGTTTTTCTGTTTCCTGCTTTTACTTTCTTCTACCAGAGGTAAAGAAAACTGTATGCCTTGAACAGAGGAGGAGAGCAAGCAATGAATGGTTCTGTGCTGCAGCCAATGCACTTTATCAGTTATAGAAATCCTAGCTGGACTCGTTTCACCTCACCTTCATTTCTCATGGCTTCCCTCAAACCTCTAGTTGTGGGAGAAATTACAGCTGTGATGACATCACTTCCTGCAAGACCGGCTGCACGGAACAGGACAGTAAACTGGTAGGTACATACGTAGAAGTAGGGGCACAGTTTGGCTTTGAGCAAATTGTACAGAGAGGTAAAGCTGACGGACCTGCATCAGAAGAAAAGGTTTCTGTGACTGAAGGCAATCCTTGGCTGTTGACATACTCAGCTGGGTCTGGCTGGGTGTTGGTGGGTGTACTTTGCACAGGTCTGGCTGGCTGTTGGTGGGTGTACCTTGCACAGGTGTGGCTGGGTGTTGGTGGGTGTACTTTGCACAGGTCTGGCTGGGTGTTGGTGGGTGTACCTTGCACAGGTCTGGCTGGGTGTTGGTGGGTGTACCTTGTACAGGTCTGGCTGGGTGTTGGTGGGTGTACCTTGCACAGGTGTGGCTGGGTGTTGGTGGGTGTACTTTGCATGGGTTTGAGAGCACTCTGAATGATTGGCCAGATCCTCAAATGTGCTCAGCATCTGGGAAGCCTGTTTGCAAGCACTGTGCTCTTCCAGCACATGTGCTTTCTAGCACATGGGTTTACAGGAAGCCTCAGAGGCAACCTGGATTTATGGAATACTACCCAGATTAACAGCTAGGATCAGAGAGGAGCATTTAACACAAGAAAGTAGCTTTAGTCTTGTATCTCTTTAACGTGATCCTCAAAATAATGCGTATTCTAGAAGGAAAAAAATAAATTTAAAAGCTTTCTAACAAAAATGGAAAGAACTTGTACATTAATTAAAATCTCAGTATCTGAATCTTACTAAATACAGTGTTTGATTCCACTTACCAGTCACTCATTAGCACTTGTTGCAAGTCTTCATCCTGTGACCAAGGACTGGCCTTTCCGACTATTTTCCTGTCTGCTCCAATGCGAGGGAACAGCTGCAGCCATGGCAGCGAAGGGTGAAGCCAGTAAACGAGGCTTTGCTGAAAGGCACAACGCAGTTCTGTCGACAGCTTTGGTTCCTAGGCGTCAAAAAGTATTTGGTGAGGACAGTAATGCTTCACTTCGGGCAGTGTTGCAAGTGAAGGATTAAAGAAATATTACATTAGATAGTAAAACAGAAAAATCCCGGGCTTGTGAATAAGGCAGACTGAAGAAAGATGGACAGCAACTGGCAACTGCTCCACAACTTAAAATTTACCTTAATTTCTAAGTGGTCATTTAAGACCACTCACTTACCACTGCTTGCTGCTGTAGGTACAAACCATGGATGGAATCAGGTTATTAAGTAGGCCTTATTCTTAATGTAAGATGAAAATAAAACAGAATCAAGCCTTCACTGCCAGGACACTTACAGAAAGGTGCAAAGGTACAGTCTCCTTTCTAAAGCTGGAGCTTCAAGCTACCCTCTTACGTATTACCTGTAAGTTCTGTGGCAAGTTTGTTTCTATAGCTCTACAATGCTGAGCAAATCCTTGAGCTTCCTCTTGTGCTTTTAAGTGTTCTGTCCAGGTAAAAGGTTGTGAAGACATAAATAGAAGTCGCGTTTTAATACTCCAGTCTGCAGGAAATTCATGTTTTGGTGAGGAGGGGACTTCAGGTACAGCAGCAGGTGAATGAAGGTCCTTATAAAACAGAAATAGCATCAGTTAACCCCTAGAAAACAAAGAAATAAAAACCTAAAACCGAACAACCACCAACAAACAAGAAACCAACCTATGTAGCTACCTATTTATATTTTAGCATTGTTAGGTCTCCTCCCTTGTGAATTTCATATACTTTTCCTGGCAGGCAGACCAGGTATAGGACTGCACCTATCATATGGAACATCTTCAGTTTAGTAGCCTACAAAAAGACAAGTTAAACCTGCCGTCTCCTGGTTTTGTCCAATTCAGTGCACAGCAGTATCATAGACTTGTTTGGGCTGGAAGGGACATTAAAGGTCATTTAGTTCCAACCCCCTGCCATGGGCAAGGACACCTTCCACAAGACCAGGTTGCTCGAAGTCCCATCCAGCCTGGCCTTGAACACTGCCAGGGATGGGGCAGTCAGAACTTCCAAATGCCTAACTCCTTTTGTTCCAAAGGAAATACCTTAATTTAAGACACATACTTAAAACAAAAACGCTTTTTCAGACAAAATTTCTAAGTTACTCAGAGTTTCACTGTTCACAGGAGAACCAAAGTCACAGTTTATACAAAACTGATTATTTTAGTCAGTAACAGATTCTACTACAAAAGTACACCATTATATTGCTTATAAAAATGCAAAAGTAGGTTTTCAGTCACGGGAGTCTTTCCAAAAGTTACAAACTAGGAACAGATAAAAGGATGAAGGACTTAAAAAAAAAAGAAACCAAAAAAACCTCAACAACTTAGCCTGAAGTTTACAAAGACAAGAATTTCCATGCCAAACCAGTCACTGTTTAATTTCATCCTCTCTTGGTGGCTGTAGTGTCAGACACTTTTCCTAGAGGATACAGGAAACCTCACTGGGGAGCTCTAGGACAGTTTTTTCTCTCTGAGAGGTCATTTTTCTGTTTTGCTACGTTAGTCTGAACTCCAGTTTCTGAAACTATAAGAATGTTAGACATTGCCTGCGCAAAACTGTCTTTCAAAGACTGGTTCTTTAGTATTCTCTTTTGTGTGTGCTGAGTGAAGTTGTTTGTTCCCTTTCTGCAGCTGAATAAAAGACCGCAGGAGATGCATCACCTTGAAGAACATGCTTAATCTCAACAAAATATAGAACTAAGGAACAGGAGAATTATGGTGAACATGGTAATAAAACTGGAAGAAGACAACAACCTCTGCCAACTGGAACTA